GTGCCTGGCCAGCGAGCTGCGTCCTGCCCTCCGGCACTCTGAAACACACAGCGCGCTCCTCTCGCCGGTGCCTGGGCGCGAGCGTGGGAGACGCGGACGTGCCGTGGTGCGTGATGATGCGCATTGCGTCCTCCCACGAGCAACAGCACGTCGTCGTCTGCTGCCGCCAAGCCCCCAGCGGGGCCTCTGTCGCGGTGCCACATGACATGCCCCAACGTTTGACGTGCAACCTTCTCAGTGCTATGCTGCACCGGCGACCGCTGGAGGCAGGAGCATGACAAGCACGGCAACAACAGGAATATTGCCTCGCCCAACATGCCGCGCAGCCTCGACAGCGCCCGCGAGAGCTGGCGGGCAGCGGCCATGAACGAGTACAGCTCGCTCCGCCAGCTCAAGGACTCGGTGCGTTTGGACAGCCACGGCTCCATCGCCACGCAAGGCCTGCGCTCGTGCGTGTGGAAGATCTTCCTCCTCTTCGACACGCTCGACCGCGACGAGTGGCAGCGCACCTTGGCCTCGAGTCGCTCCGCCTACAACTCACTCCATGCTCATTTCGTTCTCCCAGCTGAAGATCCCGGCGCTGCTGCCACTGACCTCGACCCGCTGAGTCAGGAGACAGAGGTATAAACCACTTCCGGCAGCTGAGTGCTGGAGCTTATTGTCTGACAGTGGCTAAAAGATGCAAGAATTCAACCCGGCAACGGCTGCACAAGGATGAGGATCTGCGCGCCGAAATCCTGCAAGATGTCGAACGATGTATGCTCGACTACACGCGGGAGCCTGAGACGCAGCGCATGCTGGTGGACATACTCTTCACCTTTTCCAAACTCAATCCCGACATCTCGTACCGCCAAGGAATGCACGAGATCGCTGCCCACTTGTTGTGGGTAGTCCTCGACGATGCAGTTGTCGTGGACAATTCAAGTAAGGCATTGGGAGAGGACAGTATCATCAAGACTGTGTTCGATTTTGAGTATGTGGAGCACGACACTTTCGTGATATTCGCCCAAGTCATGCAAAACGCGAAAACGTTCGTAAGTCTGGTGAAGTGGTTCGTCCCGGCCAGGCACCGGTTAATATGCTGCAGTATCTTTCCGAGGGCTCATCTTCCATCGCCGCACGGAGTCGCCACATCTTCGAAGAGCTCTTACCTCAAGTCGATGGCGCCCTCATGACTCACTTAAAGAGTCTCGATATCGTGCCGCAAGTGTTCTTGATACGATGGGTCAGGCTTCTGTTCGTTCGTGAGTTCGCGTTCGAAGACGTGCTATGCCTGTGGGACGTGATATTCGCCGAGGACCCTTCGCTTGAGCTTGTGGACTACATCTGTCTTGTGAGTCGGCCAAAACTCTCGCAATCTCCACCTCGAAAGTACTGACCCCGAACATCCTAGACTTTACTTTTAAGGATACGATGGCATTTGTTGGATGCTGACTACAATGGCGCTTTGGGATTGTTATTGAAGTATCCTGAGCTTGACAAGGATCTTCCCGCCCAAGTGCTTGGGCTCGACGCCCTATACCTCAAGTCCCATCTCAACCGCGAGGGCGGAAGCTATTGTGTGCTCAAGTATACTGGGAGGCCCCTGCCAGAATCAAATCGCCCAGCCACACCTCCCGCGCTGCAGCGTAACATTACAACATTCTCAGGCATCAACGCGGCGCGTCGAACAGCTCAGCCGCGGCTAGAGGGTCTCCTCCAGACTACTGCTAAGAACCTTTACGCTCAAGGAGGGAAGCTCGGTTTGGGTAAAGCAGTGCGCAATGCCGTGGACGAGGTCCACAAAAAGGCACAGGAGATCCGCACCGCGCAGACGCCAACGCCTCCTCCACGGCGACAGTCGAGAGTGAAGGAGCTCGAAACGCGCAATCAACAATTGTCAGAACTCCTCGGTACCGCTGTGGATGAGCTGTGGGAGTACCAGAGGTCTGTGTCTGAGGCTGACGACCAAGCGAAACATATGGACAATGTGGAGAAGCTCTCTGAGGCCATTGCTAAAGTTCAGCTCATCCAGGTGTACCTTGCGCAGCCCTCTTTGCAACTCGCGGAGCGGTCGTTCCATGCCTATAAGGGAGACGGAGGTGCCTCGCCCAAGAAACCTGCTGGTAACCAGGATGCATCTGAGTCAAAGGAATCGTTGAGCAGCAGTGCCCTAATGCAGGAACACGAGAACCATGATGATCATGTGGCCAACAGCACATCTCTAGCAGATCCAGCCAGCTTCGAGGACATCGTCAACATCGGCCATCCCGGTGATCCATTGTCAACACCGACCGAGAAAGATCTGCATACTCGGGTGCTCGACGATGCGGAACCTCAGGGTACCGTTCGAACCAAGTCGCATCGCTTACGACCTTCCTTGGAGCAGAGCTCGTTCTCATTCATGCTGGGTCAAGTCAATGCTGCTGAAGCTCCCCGGGCATCTCCTTCCGCGAGCGATAGAACGAGTGCATCATTGTTCGGGGATCGTCCTAGCACACCTCGCAAGGCGAACACAGAGAGCAATCGAGCGGACGACGAAGACTTCGATATCCTGAGTCTCAAGCGAGCTAAAGGCGACAGAACGTGAGTAAAGGTCTAGCGGAACGTATCTCATCAGCTTGGTTCCTGGGCCGCTATTCTTCCTGTCCCCATGATTTCGCCTACTCCCAACTGCTCTTTCTAGTGCTGAGAATCACAGCCGATGGTCTCCCGGCTTGTGCTGGCGCTTCAGCTTTGCTGGACATTTCCATTCAGAGCCGCCATGGGGCAGTTGAATAGCTCCAATACTGCCTTGGGCGCATGGCAGGTATTACACGGTCCTCCGTCGCAAACCTGAAGATGTCCGGATCATCGTCGGCTGCTTTCCATACCATGTGGCAGCCTGGGAAGTCAAAGCGTACATGTAGATTTGCTTGCGCGTCAAACGTAGGAGCGAACTATTTATTCTCCACAGCTCAGTGGCATTTGTGCAGTGATCGCAGGTCAAATAGTACCACTGCTCGCGTCCGGCGTCACAATGAACAACAAGTCATGTACAAATTGCGATGCATTTTGTTGATGAGTGAGGTCGGCTGGTGCTCGATCGAGGACGTCGTGTTGAACCTCGGCTTCTGCCTTGGCCGAATTGCTCGACCACATTCAGAGCCTGGTGGTTCAACTTACACAAAACAATCATGTCGCAAGCACTAGGCCTTGACTTGAAAGCAAAGAAGTTGAGGTAAATGGAGATGTTTCCCTACATTGTGCCACAAGAGCCCTCGCTGATGACGCCGAATGTGTTGTAGGAAACGCAGCGATTATGTTTACCTCGAAGACTACCGGTCGCGATGGAACGATAATGACATGTTTCAGTAAGTGCAACAGCTCGTTGATGAGGACTGCGCTGATATCCGAGCCAGCCATATGAATAATCCTATCTACGGCGTCCTCATTGATTCGATTATCAACTCTTATCTCATACAGAAGACTGGGTACCGACCTGGATATTCCGATGATGCTAGCGATCACATAGGACTTGTCGGCTCTTCGTATTGCGACTACTTTGGAGCCTCTCATTATCCTGGGATTGTGGACTGCGGATTGAGGGTGGTTAAAATGGGCAAAAGCAGTTTGATGTACGTCGCATCCCTTCCTCATCTGCTCTCAAACTTGGCTGACTTGGCTGGCTGGCAGGTACGAAGTTGGCATCTTCCAACGAGGCGACGAGGCTGTCAAGGCAGTTGGTGGATTCATCCAAATGTATGTGCCGTGTCTACAAACTCGACGGAAATTTTGCAGAGAACTGACAATGGTCAACAATTCCAGTTGGGTGGATAGGAAGTCCAATCGGCCGACCAAAGAGGGCATCCCGGCCCATGTGAGGAAAGCTCTAGAACCGTTATTGAAAGGGAGCGAACAGGAGTCTGCACCGAAGGGAAAGCTATAGCAGGATTCTGCACGTATAACACGCCACGCAGCGTTCGTTCTGGACTTCTCGTATGCTTTCGCCGTTTACAGCATGTGAACCAAAAGCTTCTACCCTGCCACGCCTCGAAGACCACGATGTTCGCTCCAACAGAACCAACACAGTGGAAGCATATTGATTTGTCAAAAGAGACTCTCAGGGTAGGGGTGGTAGGGCTGGAAATGCAAAGTCGCGTGGTGACCTCTCAGCAACGAGCTGTGCCGCCCGATGGAGTCGATAGTATTCTGGGCAACGCATGTATCGAGGAAACCCGTAAGATTGTCAAGACATACTTTGGCAAACAGGTATACAACGCTTGCCCAATTCGTACGCCGAAACGTTGGAAGGAAAGTTTGATGCTATGGGCGTGCAGCTTGCCGCGATAACGCTCAAACGATAGCTGCAACTTTATCGTTGCTGGCGGTGCATGATGACTATGATTCAGGTGGTTACTGCTTTTGGGTGTTGAAGTGATACGAACGTTTGTGTAGGGTTGTATTTGTGTTGATTCTCACGTGCTCCCTCTGCTGCCGGCGCTTTGAGACGGGACATGTCGAAGCCTCAGGCATGGGCATAAGCAACTGGCTCCTCTTCTCTTCTCTTCATGTTCTCTGCGCGCCGGCGGCGGATCGGCGCCGCGTTGCTGATCGGCATGCGTGATGTCTGCATGTTTGCTGAGCATTGCACAGCAGGAACGTCCAGACATATCGTGCAAGTGGACCTCTTCACCGACGAACAACACACAAAAGCACTTCCTAGCTTCTCATGTCGCTCTTGTGCAGTGGACGGTCGCGTGCTGCTTTGTAGTACAGGACGACGAGGCGGGACGGTTTCTCCGCGTACCTGGCTCCGGCTGCGGCTGTTATCGCCGAAGGTACCTACCTCGCAGGTGACACGCTCACGAGAGCAGCTACACGACACCACACTGCCTCTGTCGTGGAAGACGGGAGTGTCTGGTCGACCTCATATCATCACCATCTCCTATACACTCCCATCCCATTGCTACATTTCCCTGCGCCCATCATGCCGAGTAAAGCAGTGGTCCCGGTCCTCGTGGCCATGATGCTGCTAACCGGCTGCTGCAATACACTTCTAACAAAGCTGCAGGTAAGTGAAGAGCAGGCAATTGAAGCGTACTCGCATCATCTAACATAACTCCAGGATCAAGTCTGCGTGGCCGATTGTGATACAGCCAAACCGAAGCTCTTCGAGAGTCCCGTCCTACAGACATTGCAGATGTTCATGTAATTCCCGCTCCGATATATCAGTTTTCCGAATGCCTGCTTACCATAATCGCCACGAATCGTAGTGGAGAAAGCGGCTGCTGGCTTGTCGTCTTTCTCGCTTACCTCCTGCAACGCCTTCGACAACCGAGCGCGACCACTCCGGTCGACGAGATAGCGTATGAGCCGGTTAATGAAAGAGACGATTCTGAAGTGGAAGACGACGAGCATGATGGCAGCGCTGCCCTGTCTACGTCGCAGACTCTCGTAGACCCTACAAACATCATCGCGAAGCCAGCGTATGACGCGGCCCCAATAGAGCGTGTGCCTCTGCAAGGATGGAAGGTCACCCTCCTCGCTATGCCAGCTATTTGCGATATCTGTGGCACAACATTGATGAATGTGGGACTGCTATTCGTGGCCGCATCTATCTACCAGATGACCCGTGGAGCATTAGTCCTCTTCGTTGGACTCTTCAGCGTGATCTTCCTAAAGCGCCACCTGGGAGCCTGGAAATGGGCCAGTCTGTTCATCGTGGTGCTCGGTGTTGCAGTGGTGGGACTTGCAGGTGTGATTGATCACAAGGACGGCCTTCCTGAGCTACCTGGGGATGCGAACCCTGACAATAACACCGACTTGCGCCTCAAATCGTATGTGTACATTCGTGCGGCAGTGTCAAGTGTTGAACAGCACACAGCGGCGGAATCACTTCTAGGCTTCTTCCTGATCGCTTGCGCTCAAATATTCACGGCAACGCAATTTGTGCTCGAGGAATCGATCATGGAGAAGTACAGCATGGATCCAATCCGTGTTGTGGGCTGGGAAGGAGTCTTTGGATTTATCGTCACACTCATTGGTATGGGGATTCTGCACGCCTTCATCGGCTCTACAGATGCCGGACGAGGGGGTTATTTTGACGCACGCGACGGCTTCTACCAGATGTTCCACCACAAAACAATTGGCATCACCTCGCTTCTGATCATGATATCGATTGGGTATGTATAGTGGCTGTCCCACTCTCATTTGCTCGCTGACTCGTGACCAGTGGCTTCAATTTCTTCGGTCTTTCCGTGACCCGGGTCATATCCGCAACTGCTCGGTCTACTATTGATACATGCCGCACTCTGTTCATTTGGATGGTGAGCCTAGGGTTAGGCTGGGAGACCTGTAAGAATACTCAGCATCTCAAGTTGCGCATTCATTGTGATCTGCTTACCTGATATTTCTCCTCGCAGTCAAATGGTTGCAGGTTGTGGGCTTCGCGCTACTAGTGTATGGTACCGCGATCTGTAAGTGCACCAGACGTATAATCCCTCATTGGTTCGAGCCGCTAATCAATCCCTTCCAGTCAATGAGATCGTGCAGCCACCGACAGTCGCATTCCTGCGACGCAAGCGTCACATTGCGCTTCCGGAGTAGAGCATTTAGCCTCACGTTGTCGCATCTCCGGGGCATGTTCAGAAGCCATGCGCTTTCTGGTACTCTCGATGCAGTAGATCGGCCAAAGCTCCACCAAGGACAACATCGATGGGCGCCCAGTAGCGAACTCCGACCTTGAACAGCATCCGAGCAACCCAGCTCACTCCACCAATGCAAGCACCCACATCGATGTGCTTTCTGACCTCATCTTCGTCCCGTCGAAGCTCTCTATCGTGGCACCACCGAGGAATGAGAAATCTGTACTGGACTCCGGCAGCCTGTGCGGTCCATATCAGTGGTAGCAACACGGCCACGGATCTGTGCATCGCAGTCATTGTCTTGACGTTTCGAAACACCGAGGCGGGCGCTGTGAAGCCGAAGTCGAAAATCTGAGAGATGTGTCGGGCTCCTCCTACGCCCGCAACAAACGGGGCAGCGTCGACCAAGCTAGCTTCAAGATCCATGCGTCTTAGAAAGTGCGGGAGGTTGCCAATGTATTTTGTCGAGCTCTGCCCGATCTCGGGATGCCATTTATTATCGTCCGCAGTCTTCAGATTCCAGAAGAAGAGGTATTGCAAGGCCATGATGCCGTGAAACTTTCATCCGATACGCGCGGGCAAATGCTCCTCTGGCTGTGCCAACTTGCCGTCTGTCACTTGCTTCAATGATAGATTGTAGTAGCATGTTCAAGGGCCAAGTAGTGAAGTGGCTCGTCTATGATGTAGACGTCCAAATGCAGCTAGATCGGCAGGGACAGCTTCCGCCTGGCAGATCCGATTGACCAACGCAACGATTGATACTCCATGTAGTACAGAACAGGTCGCTCAGATGCTCTACGGTGTGCATTGCTGATTAATTGGCCATGCCATGACTTAAAAGGTTGGTTGAACGCAGACCTCAAGAACTAGAAAAGTTATATGGCATTTAGTGAACCCCATTTTACATGGGTCCCAAGCTTTCGATACAGAAGAGCACTCGTCTTTTCTACGTCAACAGAATGTAAGAAGCTGGAATGGCAGATCTGGGCTGATAATTAGGGAGGACGTCGAAATGTTCAATTTTCTGAAGTCACCATGCTGTCGAGCGAGTGCGAGATAAGCCGATGGTATAGCGAAGGCTCGATTTATAATGATCTATAGCTTCTCAGCGAGTACAAAGCCGTACCAGATCATGGCTCCCAAGCCGATCACATTGGAAAGCGACGAGGCACCATGTAGTTTGCCAAAAGACGAATTGAGACGCTGCATCTCGGCTGATTTGGGGCCAGGATCGTAATATCGTTTTCCTTCTCTCGTTTCTGTGAAATATGGTCGTGAGTTTGAATAGTCCTTCGACAATCTTACTATCAGTCCAATTTACATACCTTGATGTTTCCTCTCCTTCATCACTTTCGTCGTGGCGGGTCCAAGAACAAGTAGGTTCAAGAAGCTGGTGGCGAACATTGCGAAAATGGGGGCAAAGGCTGTCCATCTGTGCTCTTCCTCCAGGAGGCCTGCAAGTCCAGAGTTTTGCCTCGCGACTGCTCCACCGGCTGCAGCAATTTTCTCACCTGGCCATGTTAAAGCGAGGACTAAGGGTAGTGCTGTCTGGAAGGTGAAGTATGGAGGAAAAATGGCTTGCTGCAGGACACTGAATGATGGTCGTGGAAGAGCCTTGAATGCGACAGGTCCGGCAAGGAAGGTCTGGAAGATGTTGGAGCCAAGGAGAGTGCCATATGTGAGGATATGGTAGGCCTTAGGATCGGAAAGGGAGCTGACTGGTGCCATTTTCAGTTATTCTATTTCGTGGTGTCGATGAGAGTCGAGCGATGGCAAACAGAGCAAGTGCGAATATGTATCGATATCGACGATGACCTCATCACGTATGCACTGTCCATAAAGTCATGCTCGTCATGCTAGAACCCATAGCCTCAGCAACAGTTTCATGGACATTCAAGTGCAATCTGAGAGCTGCCCGAGTGCCATGAGAGACATTACTGCAGGCAGCATAGGATCAAGGCCAACAACATGCTGCCTTCAGAAGTATTCGGTCACGTGGTGTCGTGAGGAGCCGAAGTTCGGCCGGTCTGGCGACTGCCTCGCGACGCGTCTGCCTGACAAACGGGCGACAATTCACTTTCTCAAAACGTGATGTGATCCAGTTTCGCGACAGCTCAGCTCTGCTGATACGACAAAGATGGCGTCTAAGGAGGCGACTGTCTATATCATCGATGTCGGCAAATCCATGGGCGAGACCAGCCATGGCCGCACGCAATCGAACCTTGACTGGGCTCTGGAGTACTTTTGGGACAAGATCACAGCAACGATCGCAACTGGCCGTAAAACTGCCATGGCCGGCGTGGTCGGCCTCCGGACCGAAGAGAGTGAGAACGATCTCGCCGATGATGAGAATTACCAGAATGTCAGCGTGCTTCATGGCATCAGCCAGCTATTGATGCCTGACGTTCGACGGTTGCGAGACAAATTGAAAGTGAGCAATACCAAAAATGGTGATGCCATCGATGCTTTGGTTGTTGCTGTTCAAATGATCAACGAAACATGTAAAAAACTGCAATACATTCGGAAGATTGTACTTATCACCGACGGCCGCGGTCAGATGGAAGTCGACATGTTGCCTGAGATCAAAAAGAAGATTGTGGAAGACAAAATCGATTTGATTGTGCTGGGAGTCGATTTCGATGACCCTGAGTATGGCTACAAAGAAGAAGAGAAGTCCTCTACCAAAGAGGAAAACGAAACTATATTGCGAACATTCTGTGAAGACTGTGATGGCACCTTCGGCACCATGTTGCAGGCCATTGACGAACTTCAAATGCCAAGAGTCAAATCGACCAGACCAGTGGCCGGTTATCGAGGTGTCTTGACGTTGGGAAACCCAGAGCTGTACGAGGATGCCTTTACCATCAACGTGGAACGATATCCGAAGATCATGAAAGCAAGTGTACCAAGTTCGAGCGCTTTTGTCGTGCGACAAGGCTCGAGCCAAAGTTTTGCGACCTCACAGAACACCGACGAAAGCGTTGCAGAGAACGATCTCTCCGCAGTACGAATGGCTCGCACATACCAGGTCCAAGAAGACAGTGCTCCTGGCGGCAAGAAGGATGTCGAGCGAGACGAGCTCGCCCGTGGATACGAATATGGGCGCACGGCAGTGCATATTTCAGAGAGCGATCGCAACGTAACTACTTTCGAAACACTACCTGGTTTGGACGTTATTGGCTTCGTCCATAAGGACCAATATCAGCGATATCTCGATCTGTCACGCGCCAACATGATCGTCTCGAAGAAAGCTGACGAGAAAGCTTCCATGGCACTATCCTCTCTCATTCATGCATTATACGAACTGGACTCCTATGCTGTCGCTCGATTTGTTGCGAAGGAGAACAAGGAACCGCGGATCCTCTTGCTGACACCTAACATCGAGCCTGACTTCGAGTGCCTGTACGATGTAGAACTGCCTTTCGCAGAAGACGTCCGTAACTACAAATTCCCTCCACTCGATCGAGTGGTGACAGTGTCCGGAAGATCGCTGAAGGTGCATCGCAACCTGCCGAACGACGATCTCATGGACGCTATGAGCGAATACGTGGACAAAATGGATCTGTCTGCATCCGCAACGAATGAAGACGGAGAAACTGTCGAGTATGGAGCACCCGACGACACATACACACCAAAGCTGCATCGTTTGCAGCATGTTATTCACCACAGAGCCATCTTTCCCGAGGCCGACCCTCCCGATGCACGTCCTGTCATTCTCAAGTACTCCCAACCTCCCGAAGACCTCATCAAAAAGGCGACGCCTGCCCTTGAGCGAGTGATCAAGGCCGGAGAGGTGAAGAAAGTACCGCCCAAAGCTCGTGGCAAGCGATGGAGTCGAAAGGAGACGTCAAAACCACTCTCAGATCTCGACGTCGCTGCTCTGCTAGCGCAAGACCCCAGGAGGAAAAGCAAGCGCATCGATCCAAAGAATGCCATCCCGGAGTTCATACAAATGGTGGAGTCAGCCGATGGCCTCCCGCAGTTCGAAGAGGCTTGTACGCAGCTCAAATTCATCATCTACGACTGGATCAAGCATTCCGTCGGCAACATGGCTTATGGTCGTGCGCTCGAGGGCATTGGAGCCATGAGAAAGGCATGCGAGGATATGGAGCACCCGGGCCCCTTCCACAGCTTTCTCGTGGAGCTCAAGCAGAAGGCATTGGGTGGAGAATTGGGTGGGGATAGGAAAGCGATGTGGTTCAAGGTTCGACAGGCCAAAATGCGGCCGCTTTTGAAGAGCGAGTGTCAAGGCAGTGATTACACTGAGGAAATGGCGAAGAAGCTCATGTTACCTCAATTAAGCGACTGAGTTGTGGCTAGAGTGCTGAGGAGTGGTTTTCGAGGGTATGTGCTTTCGCAGATTGCGATGGCCACCGATGAGCGTATGAAGTTGCTAGGAAAGCGTGGTGGCTACAGAAAAGCTGGTGTAATGAGAATCACGAACAGAGTTCCTGCCAGCTCATTCCACGCTCAACGCTCGCATCCAAGAACGGCGCGGGATTACATTAGCAGTCATGAACTCCACAGAGGGAAGTGGTTTCATTAGCGAGTCGATTGACGAATAACTCGAACTTCATCAACCTGGCGGTTGGCTAATCTCAAATGCGGTGTGAAACTCCTCCTCTGAACATGAGCCATGGCCTGCATTTTCAGCAACATCCATCTCTCCCGGCCTGCTAGGCAATTCGTGAATCGTATCAGTCATTGACGTGCCATCGTCACCAACAACCTGCTCCGCTACACCCATATCCCTTCCACCGTGTTGTTTCTTTAGAGCACTTCTGTCGAAACGGGCCTGCTTTGGTTCATCTCCAAAAACACTCTTCTTGGGCTTCGGCCTCGTACGGACGCTGGTCTCCAGTCGCGTGATCAATCGGTCGATTGCGGCCTTGAGCTCTTGACGTCGAAGATGAGTGGCTTCATGTTGGATATTAGCCTTCATGTACCCCAACTCAGAAACGATTGCATCTATTTTCGAATTGTGGGTTTTTGCTGCCGCACACAGCTTCGGTAACTGAGTGAACATGCCTGTTGCTTTGGTATCGGATGCCTCGGGCACAGGGTGTAGGACGTTGTAGTCGGTGAACCCAGCAGAGATGGCGATGTCCAGGACTTCCACTAGCGGTACTAGGAGATCATAATCGGCCGAGTCTCTGATCTCGAACTCTTTGTTGGTTCGGAGTGTCTGGGTGATGCAGGCCAGCCAGTCCCGGCCGCCAACAGTGACTGAGTCACGATTTTCTGACGGTATGAGCACTCCAAGCGCGAGCCTCCGGCGAATGTCATATGTACGCTTGGTGCGGCTGGGCAGTGACTGTATGAGGCAGCAACGGAATCGAGGCGTGATACTTTCGTCAGTGTCATGAAGCATGCTGAGCGCGCCTTGTACGAGTCTCTCGTAAGATTGCTCCGAGATCGACTCGAGCAAGTCTTCGATGCAGCTTCCCAGAGCGAGCGACAGTCCGAGGTCTCTCCTCACGTGTTCATCCAGATTCATCATTGACATATCAAGGAAAGCCTCGAGAGTCTTTGATGGTTCTGCTTCGGGCACTACGCTGTCAGAAGCTGGCGCACAAAAGGTTGCAACTTTCAGTACGTGCTTCAGGCCCGCTGGAACACCGCGCTGAACGGGCTCCGTATATTTGTTCTCAAAAAGAGAACGAGTCTTGTACATTGATGACACCGACGCTATGGTATCAGATACCGAGTTGTGAGATGTGCACGATACTCTAAGTATCTCGACATAGGCCTCGCACAACGCCTCATTCTGCTCATGGAGCAATTGCTGTGCCATCCAATTAGTTATCGCCATGGGCAGCGGATAATGTGCAGCCATCTCAGCGGCAAAGCCTGACATACAGGCCTGCTCCCGGGAAGTGTCCGTAGCGTACAGGCTGCTCCAAGGCTCGTTCGGTAGGCACTCCGTTGGAAACGGGACGTCATCGAACAGCGGTGCAGTGTCCAGAAAGAAATGGTATGTGTCGGCCGCTTGTAATGCCTCCACGCGCTGCAGTGCCTTGAGCCTTCTCTCGCCGTCTTCATCGTCGCTTGCATACTCCAGCATGGTTTCCGCGTCGACCTTGTTGTTCAGCCCCAGTATCGCTTGTCGCTCGGCCTCCTCGTCACGCTTCTTGGAATCCTCCAGTGCCTGTCTCATACTAGCAATCGCTGCTTCAGACTCCTTCATCCGCTGTCCTTCGCGGATCAGCGATGCGAAACTGTGCTTGTACACCTTCTTCGGAGGGGACTGCGGGCGTGTCTGGTCGAATCTCTTCTGCCTGTCGCGAGCAGACAATTTCTTGACCGCAGGAGTCTCCTTGGCCTCTGGGGACAATTTTCGTCGCTTGGCGAAGAATGTGCGCGGATCAGCGAGCTCTTCGCCGCTGCTGTCATCACTCATGTCGGAGTCAGAGTTCGCGACTGCCTGCACGCCATCTTTGACAATTCGCCGTGAACTGGAGGTGGACGCACGCAGCGTGCTTGATGACAAAGACGAAGGTACATTGGTGGCTGCAGCCGTCGCGGTGGTCGTCGAGGGCAAGTTCGATGTGCCGGAGGCATTGGGAGACGATGCGGAGATGGACTTGGTCCTGTCGGCGCGAGGACTCGCATTTGGTGATTGCGGCGATGAAGACCTCGAGATCACCACGCCTGAGGCAAGCCGTCGCTTGGGCGAGAGTACAAGAGGCGAGCGGTAGGGAGAGTCCGGGGTGGGCGTGATGTTCGTTGTGCCATCAATGGGATTGACATTGTATTTCGGCGGGGATTTGCTGGGCGATGCGACGACAATTTCGTCCTCCACGATATTGTTGTCAGGCCTGCGTTCCGGAGGGATCGTGAAGCGTGAGAAGAAGGACGTGATTTTCTGGCTGCCCGATGTATCGTTCTTTTGCAGTGGCATGGCGTTGTTCGCTGCATTGAAGCAGCAGCAGTGCAGTGCGGGCAACGCGTAACTCCGAGACGCGACTAAGCACGCGTTGACTTAGCGCGGGCGGGATGGGCCGGCAGTCAAAATAGTGTCGACACGGACACGGGATGTTCAGGGCTCCCGCTGCATAAAAAGCACAGGTGGCCTTGTGCAGCCATGGCCGGAGGGCGCACGCCGTGTTGGCTGTCGTCTCCGAGCTGCATTCGCAGTGGACAATGCTGTCGCTGCTGGCAGTCCGGCAGAGGCGGAGGGCAGAAGCGGAAAGCGCATAGCGGCGATGACGGCGGTGACAACGAGGGCAGCGGTGCCCTGAGTCGCACTCACACCAGCAGGCCTGTGAGCTGAGGCTGTGTTGGTGTTCCAGTAGGCTTGCACGCAGCGTCCGCCCAGCTCCGCACAGCGCGCTGTTGCCAACCGGCCTTAACAACGCCCATTCGCGAATGGCGGAGCAGTAGTCAGTCTCGGCACACGCTTACGGGGGGCGTTGCTCTGCTCATCTTCTTCGCGCGCATGTCGGGGCCCGCGTGTTTCCGTTCAGCTGCTGACCACTACTTACTGACGCTGATGAGTCCTCTCGCTCAACTCCATCCTCTTCGCCTCCGCGTCGACGTGAAGTGAGTCTTCACTCTTGTGCTACCTTCGCGGTGCTGTGCTGTGTACGAGCGCAGTGTGCATCGGCGAGCGACAATTCGCCGCATCTCATCCCAGGGACCTGGACTGGACGATCCATCGATCCATCCCTGCTGTACGCCTCACCTCGAAACAACTCGCCCGTCCCCATTGACCAACTTCTGCCCGTCGCCGCCGACCGATCTCCAAAGCAACGCGCCGCCGTCACTGCTACCGCCCTGCAGCGCCTCCACTGGGTCCACCGCGCCGTGCTCCCTCGCCCCTCCCCCTTCCGCGCAGCTAGCATTCCGCGCCTCCCACGCATGCTCAGGCCGTGTGGAAGTTAGCCTTCGTGCCGGAACACTCACCTTCGCGTCGGGCGTCCCCCGCTACCATCGCACCGTACACACGAACGTCCCCGAGCCGCATGACCATTGCCATTGCCTGCCATCTGGCACCACCACGGCCCCTCGCGCGGTGAAGCGAGGTGCTACCACCAGCCCGCCATGGCCATCGATTTCGATACCGCCGCCCAGCAGACGCCCTCTGCCCAACGCGCCGAGGAGCATGGCACGCAGACATCGCAGCCCCTCAACCGTATGCGATGGGCAACAGTGCGAAAGCCCGGGCGGAAGGGCACGCTGAAGCGTCGGAGCATCTTCTCGCGCAACGCGGCCAGGCTGAGCGGCAGCCACCGGAATAGGGAGTCCACTGCGACCACGACTGATGGCGATTTTAAGGCCGATGCTGCAGCCAGTGAGGCGCCGCCCGAAGGCCAGACGGCACGCACCATCTATGTGAACCAGCCCCTGCCGGATAGCGCACGAGACGATGAGGGAAGGCCGCTGCAGAACTTCAAGCGCAACAAGATTCGGACTGCCAAATACACGCCCATATCCTTCATTCCGAAGAACTTGTGGTTTCAGCTACACAATATCGCCAATGTCTATTTCATCTTCATCGTCGTGCTGGGCATCTTCTCCATCTTTGGCGTGGAGAACCCTGGCCTGGCCGCTGTGCCCATCATTGTCATTCTTACCATTACAGCGATCAAGGATGGCATCGAAGACTGGCGAAGGACGGTGTTGGACAACGAATTGAATAACGCGCCGGTGCACCGGTTGGTGGACTGGGACAACGTGAATGTGTCTGAAGAAAAGATCAGCTTATGGCGAAGGTTTAAGAAGGCTAACACCCGAGCCATTCTGTTTCTCTGGAAATGGTGGAAGGGCCGGAAGGAAGCGGCCGCTGCGAAAAAGGGCAAGACGCAGGACGCCAGATTGGACAACAAGCTCGACAACGATGAACGGCGCATGAGCGCTTTGACACAGCGTCTGGATAGTATAGACGGCTACGGGAACGAACACGGAGATGGCGACGTCGAAATGACACCTGTGCCTTCTCCAACCCCGGGACAGCATCCGCCGAGCTATGGGAATGTCGAGGACTCGGGGCATGCCAGAGGAAATGCAAAGGATACACTGGCTGTGCCTAAAGTTGGCGACGACGGCAAACTAGAACAAGTGCCAATCGCAAAGAAATTCCACGGCAGTCTGATCAACCCGAATCGGCCACGTCCGGAGAAAGCACGTTTCAAGAAGGATTACTGGAAAAATGTGAGAGTTGGCGACTTCGTACGTCTGTACAACGATGAGGAGATTCCTTCGGACATTATCGTTCTAGCGACCAGCGATGCGGACGGAGCTTGTTACATCGAAACCAAGAATTTAGATGGCGAAACAAATCTCAAGGTCCGGACTGCGCTGTACTCAGGTCGAGATATCAAAAGAGCACGAGATTGCGAGCAGGCCGACTTCGTCGTCGAAAGCGAGCCTCCGCATGCCAATCTGTATGCGTACTCCGGAGTTGTCAGGTGGAATCAATATGACAGGAAAAATCCTCAAGCAGAGCCAAAGGAGATGGCAGAACCCGTAGGAATCAACAATCTTCTCCTGCGCGGCTGCACTGTTCGCAACACGGAGTGGGTCCTTGGCGTGGTCGCGTTCACTGGCGAGGACACAAAGATCATGCTCAACTCTGGTATCACACCTTCAAAACGGCCAAAGATCATGCGTGATCTGAATTGGAACGTGTTGTACAACTTCGTCATTCTCTTCGTAATGTGTCTTGTTGCAGCCATCGCCAATGGTGTTGCTTGGGGCAAAACGAACAGCTCACTGGCCTATTTCGACTTTGGTGGCTATGGTAGTACAGCAGCTCTTACGGGATTCATCAACTTCTGGGCGGCAGTCATCCTCTTCCAGAACTTGGTGCCTATCTCGCTGTACATCTCTCTGGAAATCGTTCGATCCGTGCAGGCGTTCTTCATCTACTCCGACACCTTCATGTACTACGAAAAGCTGGACTATCCGTGCACACCCAAATCCTGGAACATATCGGACGATCTTGGCCAGATCGAATACATTTTCTCAGACAAGACCGGCACGCTCACCCAAAATGTCATGGAGTTCAAGAAATGCACGGTCAACGGCGTGCCATACGGTGAGGCTTATACAGAAGCGCTCGCTGGTATGCAGAAACGGCAGGGTATCAACGTCGAAGAAGTTGGGCAACAGGAGAGGCAACGAATCGCTGAGGATCGCGTTAAGATGCTGGGACTCATCCGCAAGCTGCACGACAACCCCTATCTGCGAGACGATGACTTGACCTTTGTTGCGCCAGACTACATTCAAGATCTGGGGGGTGACAGCGGGCCCGTACAGAAGGCGGCGACTGAACAGTTCATGCTTGCCCTCGCCCTTTGCCACAGTGTCATCACCGAACGGACTCCCGGAGACCCACCTCGGATAGAATTCAAGGCGCAGAGTCCGGATGAGGCTGCTCTCGTAGCTACTGCACGAGATTGCGGCTATACCGTGGTGGGCCGCTCCAACGACGGGATCATCCTCAATATCCTCGGCGAAGAACGCGAGTACACAGTTCTGAACATTCTCGAATTCAATTCTACCAGGAAACGCATGTCGGCGATCATTCGCATGCCCAATGGCAAGATCATCCTTTTCTGCAAGGGTGCTGATAGTATCATCTATTCTCGACTAGCAAAGGGTGAACAGGCCGAGCTTCGTAAGGCCACTGCCGAGCACCTCGAAATGTTCGCCCGCGAAGGTCTTCGAACGCTGTGTATCGCGCAAAGAGATCTTGATGAAGATGAGTACCAGGAATGGAATCGCGACCACGAGCTCGCAGCGGCTGCTGTCCAAGATCGAGAAACAAAGCTGGAAGAAGTTGCCGATCGCATTGAACGCGAGCTGACATTGCTTGGCGGTACTGCCATTGAAGACCGTCTCCAAGATGGCGTCCCCGACTCGATCGCCCTCCTCGCCCAGGCGGGTATCAAGCTGTGGGTCTTGACTGGCGACAAGGTCGAGACGGCGATCAACATCGGGTTCTCCTGCAACTTACTTGACAACGACATGGATTTGATCGTGTTGAAAGTAGAAGACGACAACTTCGCACAAGCCGAGGAAGAGCTCAACAAGCATCTCGCTACCTTCGGCAAGACTGGTAGTGATGAAGAGCTGAAGGCTGCAAAGAAGAATCACGAGCCACCGGCTCCAACCCATGCCTTGGTCATTGACGGCGACACTCTCAAACTTGTGCTCGACGACCGGTTGCGACAGAAATTCTTGCTGCTCTGCAAAGAGTGTAGATCTGTGCTCTGCTGTCGTGTTTCTCCATCGCAAAAGGCCGCCGTCGTTGGTTTGGTGAAGCATACACTGGAAGTTATGACGTTGTCTATCGGTGATGGTGCCAACGATGTTGCCATGATCCAAGAGGCGGATGTCGGTGTTGGTATCGCCGGAGAAGAAGGTCGTCAAGCTGTAATGAGTTCGGACTACGCTATCGGCCAGTTCCGCTACTTGACACGACTGCTTCTCGTACACGGTCGTTGGGATTACAGGCGTATGGCCGAATGTGTTGCCAACTTCTTCTACAAGGTAAGTTCGCGCTTCGTTGATCATGACCTTATGCTCACAATTTGCAGAACATCATCTGGGTCTTTGCCCTCTTCTGGTTCCAAGTATACACAAACTTCGATTGTTCGTACGCATTCGACTACTCGTACATCCTGCTGTACAATTTGGCGTTCACGTCCCTGCCAATCATCTTCCAGGGTATCCTCGATCAAGACGTGGACGACAAGGTCTCACTGGCTGTTCCTCAGCTGTATCGCCGCGGCATCGAACAAAAGGAGTGGACGCAGACGAAGTTCTGGGTCTACATGATCGATGGACTGTACCAGTCCGTGATCTGCTTCTACTTCACCTACTTGTTATTTGCTCCCGCGACCTTCGCTACCGAGTCCGGACGTGGTGTGAACGACTACAAGAGAATGGGAGTTTACATTGCGAATCCTATCGTCGTCATCGTCAACGTGTACATCCTCATCAACACATACCGCTGGGACTGGTTCATGTGCCTCATAACAGCTATTTCCATCTTGTTGATCTGGTTCTGGACGGGCGTCTACACGTCTTTCACGGCTGGCTTTACCTTTTATGAGGCAGCACCACAGGTCTACGGAGCGCTGTCTTATTGGGCTGTCGCCCTGTTGACGGTGATCCTGGCTTTGTTGCCCCGCTTCGCTGCTAAGTCGTTCCAGAAAATGTATATGCCGTACGATATCGACATTGTTCGAGAGCAAGTGCGACAGGGCAAATTTGACTATCTCAAGAATGTTGAGCCAGAGAAGTTGACGGCGGGCGGCGCGATGGGCGCTACGGGAAAGCTTGCAGCAGGCAGCACTTCAAGCAGTGAGCTTAGCAACGGCCAAAGGCAAGAAAAGATCGGTCATCGGCGCAACGGATCTCCAAATGCTGGAAGGCCGACGATGGACGAAGACATGCGGCCGATATATCCTCCATCAGAGGCCGGAACTAAAAATCCTCGAAGTCATAACGGGAGCGACGGAACTGATTACACCGGTCATTCTGGGCGGCCGAGCGTGGATCCATTTGCATCGCATTATCCTCCTGCTTACCCAGGATCCGGACCTGGCGCAATGGGACCCAACGCGACGTACACCACAAGTCACGCGAATGGCAACGGTGCGCCGGCCTTGGCTCCTAGCGGTCTGAGCATGATCCAGACTGCAGCGAGTTCAAATTATGACACGCCTTCTCAGACGCCCGGCGGTGTGACACCGACATGGACCAGAACCGAGTATTTTGGTCCCGATGGCGTTACGAGACACAGCGTGGACAGGGCACGACCGTCCTTCGACAGATTGAGATCGAGCATGGACAGAACAAGGCCATCGTTCGAAGCAAGCAACGACTTCACGAGTGCTGCGTACCTCACACGAGTGGAATCAAGTCACAGCACAGGGACAAAGACTCACAAAAGAGGAGAGAGTAAGATGAGGCAGGACATCAGTGGTGATCTGCGAAACGAGCAAAGCTGATGAGGTGCATAAATGGAAGTGGCATGAAATACACACGAAGAGACGGACGCCCAAACACCACGGTGGAGGAAGAATGAAGCACCTCCGATTCAAAGTTTCCTTGTAACGATTGCGGAAGATCTCACACGCGAGCCATCTTTTGCAGACTAACTTGTACATAAGACAAAACGCGTCGCATCATTCTTTTCGCGACGGGCAGGATACGGGGGTTGAGTGATACCACAGGATGATTCAAAGCATGGCGTTCGAGGTGTTGCACAATGGGTGGAGGCATTGCATCGAAATTTTCTGCGATTTCAAATTAGACCTTTGGATAGAGCATTGATCGAAACCTATTAAGCAATTAGCTGTTACTACCTAAAAGCGCATTCTACAGCGAGAGCTTCTTCTCATCAACGCTGTCTTCCATTTCTCAATTCCGTCTCCCGGGCTCTTCCATTGCCTAATTGGGTTTAGCGCGCCATGGAGTAGGCTTGTGTCTTCCAATGAAGCAATCGACTTTGACAACATCACTTCCAACAAACAACATCGAACAGCATCAACATTTGAACTTGAATCGCCTTCGAAATTCGGTGGGACTTCACGAACAGCAGGTCGGATCAAGCAAAGTTGCAGCTGAGTGCGCAAGGCGGAGGCTCGCCCACCACTTGCCACCATGAGGACGGTCACTTGGGTAAAGATGGCTGCTGCGTATGTATTTTCCGCCAAGAACTGGTTTCTCCCGGTGCACTATTAACACTCGAATCACAGCGGCGGTATCATGTGCATAGGCGGTCCAGCACTGATTTACTACGTGACGCCAACGGAAGAGGAACTATTCATGGTATGTCACTTTTTCCACACCGGCGAGAAAGTTGCCGACTTCGTTCCAAGAATTCAGATCACTGAGACAGGAAATCTAGAAATACAACCCCGAACTTCAACGCAGATCACTAGAACGGAGAAAGGAGAAGCAAGAAGATTTTGACTCGTTTGTGAATAAATTGAAGGATTATTCGAAGAGTGATAAGCACAGTAAGTCTTTGTTTCTCTTGATACGTTCTTGCCGCAGGATGACGATACTAATCTTTGATGAAACAGTCTGGCAGGTCTGGGAAGATGAACTTGCGAAGAAGAGAGCAGAAGGTGTTACTGCTGAGTTGGAGAGGAGGAGAGCGGCTGATGCGGAGGCGCAGGCGAGGAAGGAGGAGTTGAGGCAGAGTATCAAATGAGCATTTGGAGATGGAATGGCGTTGGAGATGTGAAGTAAAGTGAAACAGCTCCCAGCATCAGCCGCTCAAACTGTATTATCTAGGAGACTTTGGCTTGTGGTAGTATATATCGACTCACAACAAGATCAAAGTTGGTCGATCTAAGGACATCCTCAACTCTCTACTACTTCGTACCTCATGGCTGCGGTATTGGCTCGAGTGGAGGCAAGATGTGTTCCAAAGGCGGCCATGCGACCAGCTCACAACTTGAATTCCACTTCCAAACGCGAGGCGTTACCAGAACTGCACTTCCATCGTTGCGTAACTCCCAATACTGCCGCCACTCTGGGCCAGCGACCTGTGGAACTGAAGTCGATCCGCGAGTCTTGATAGAAGAAACATGGATCTCGTGCTCTTCTTTACTGGTGCGTCGTGAACGAGGCTGGCGACGCGTTGTTCCCCATCTGCGACGAGAGGTGCCATTCTTTCTACTGCTCGGAGACGCGGGCAACTGCAGCTCCGAATCATTCTGCCGAGCCTCATGCACTTCCACTTCCTCGCGCTTCACCACGACCTCCTCATCGTCTTCGTCGTTGAATTCCCCTAGTCCAGGCTGACTTACGCCCGTTGGAGAAGGGGCACCGGCCAAATAGCCTGAGAACGTCTTCCGCAGCCACTCCATATCCTCGTTCTCACCCCGAGCACGGTAATAGTCTGGCCACAAGGAACGCCATGAGCCACCAGCCTTTTCGCGTTCTTTCAGCTTGTTATCATAGCTGCTTAATATAAAGCTCCATCGATCTTCTGCGTTCCATCCCGAATTCTTGTCAGAGGGCTTAATTCGGTTTTCGATGAGGTACTTGACCACTTTGCGGTCTAGAAAGCGCTGATAGTCCATTGTGCGTGTTTTAGGTTCAGTCTGCTTGTCGGTGCCGATTGTGGAAGAGCGTTCGCGAAGTGGTGTTAAACTTGGCGATACAAACAAGGGTCTCGCATCCTCGACGCTGCTCGCGCTGTGTAATGCCGTATCTTCATTATCTGAGGAATCTGGTGTGCTATTGCGAGCAGTGCGGCGTCGATCGAGAAGCACGTTCGCAGACGGCCTTACACGGTGGTGGTTATCAAATAATTTCTGTCGCTTCGACGCAGCCTGTCCTTCTGTCTCGTGCTCTACAGCTCCACTCAACACATTTCGACGCTTCGGCGCCATGCCATTCAAGATTCTTGTCGAGATGCCGCTTTTGAACTCCGATTCTTCAGTTCTTGTATGCGCAGGTGGGGCGCGTCCCCTGTGGAAGGATGTTGTTCCCGTACTGTACCGCGCAAGAAGTGAGCTGCGGTTCACCGGAACTGGACTGTCGGTCTGTGATTGGAGGCTTGCGTAGTGTTGTCGCGGGTGAAGTAAGGTCGGGGAGGCCTTATCTTCCATCGCGGAAGACCTCTGTGTAGAGAGGCGATGAGCGAAGTTGGACTTGCGAAACAGCTCGGCAGTTGAGTCGTTCGTGCGCGTGCCATTTATTGCTGCGAGCACATCGTAGCCAGCCATCGTGGCGTCGTGTGTCTTGGGAAAGGCGCCGATGATGCTGTGAGCGCTGACAGGAAGGCGTCCAATGATGACTTGGACCTGAGCATGCACATGCGATCAATCATCTGGAGTCTCCTCACTTCGAAAGGTGATCAGGCACGACTGAGCGTCGAAGCTTCAACAACCTTGGGCGCGTGTGTGTATGGTCGCAGATCGATATCTGGATCTCACTCAATAGAATTGAGAGAAAACCTGAGCGAAAGTGGCACTACAAGGGACAGATGCACGAGCGAGCTTTTCAAGCGGTGTGAGCTGAAGTGATTTCGCAAAGCTCACTCCTCCCCGACCCCGTCGTCCCAGACACTCCGGTCGAAGAAAGCTCTTATCTGCCTCGCGTTCTCCTTGCCAATCATTATTGCTAGCTCTGCCTCATCAGCATTCGCCACTTCCTGCACGTTTCGGTATTCCAAAATCAGCTTATTCAGCGCTTTGTTCGTGACTCCTGGCACACATCGCAGCATGTCCTGAGGTGTCTGATTGAAGGTCCTTGTTTCGGGATCTTCTCCCTGCTCTAGACCTATTTGCACAGCCTTGATCGGGTCTGGCTCCTCCTGCTTGTTCTTCAACTCTTCAAAAATTTCAGCAGTTTGGTAAGGCGATGAAGACCAGATGATCTTCAGCCGTGGGAAGGCGAGAGTCAGAAGGACTAGTTTCGATTGAAGATCATTCCCGACTATGCTATGTGTGCCGAGGGAAGAGGACAAGTCGGCAAAGGGTTCCAGTGTGAATGCTTTCTGTTGATCGAATTCGATGAGTAGCATGGGCGCTTTGTAGTGTTGCAGCATCGTTTCTGCCTGGTTGTAGAGGCGACCATTGTTGAAAGACGAGATCAGATCACTGACAGACTTTCGCTCGACGCAAACATCTGGCGTTAAGACATAGTCGCCAACTGTCAACATGCAAGGGACTATGACCATGTTGCGTCCATGTAGCAACGAGGGTAAACTGCTGCGAAACTCTCGTACGTCCACCACCACGCGAGGAGGTTCAGCTGTTGCCATGAGTCGACCGCCACCAGCAATACGCGTGTTGACGGTGCGCAGAAATGCCTCTTGCGGATCCTGGTTGTCGGTGTCATGCGTGAATGTCATAGCCATGTTTCCGCGCTCGCGAATCAGCTTGGTGAAGCTGTCCTTCTCCCTCCGTACTGTGCTGAGGTATCGTTGCTCTTCCACACTTCCGCCATAATACATGAAGTAGACTCGGACCTGCCGGTTGCTGTGGCTGCTTCGGTAGACCTCGATTCGTCTGATAAATGCCGCATCAGGCTCATACATAATCACGTATCGCGGTTTGATCTCTTCCAAAAGGTGGTCATCCATGTCGCCATCATAAGGATGTACCAGTACAAGGTCTTTCATGTCGTAAAGTTCGTAATAGTCGTCCATGTCATCCAGAGGATCGGCGCCAATATCGACTTTCGCTGCCGCTGCATCATCTGCGAGGTCGTTCACTGCAAGCTCATTCATGAGTGCTTGGACATGAGACTCCTTGTCGCCAGCAACTGATAGAGCACCATTGGCATTCCGCCCAGGAGCCGCTCCCGCGTTGCCACCTCCTCGAATTCTTCTCCTCTTGTTGGGTGGCGCCTTACCGCCCTTGAGCTGACCCGAAGCGTGCCGTGCTGTGCCGTTGATCTCTTTCTCGTTAGCAGCGAAGAGGGTATTGCTCACACGAGCGAAATCACGCTTCCAGATCAAGTAATTGCGCAATTTCCTTCGCATCATATAACTGCCGCTCGGTTGTCGCTCTTTCGTAATGTCATCATCGCTACCCTGACCTGCGCCGCTCTCGTCCACCTCGTTGTGCATTGTCTGCAAATATTCTCGTAACTGTCTGCAGGTGTTGTGATCTGCGCACATGATCAGAATACTGCCACTCGACTCGTCCTGGGGTTGCGGGTTGAAGTAGACATCTCGCTCGATTTCCTCCAGTATCTCTGCCAGAAGAGCCCATTTCGGGAGCTCTTCGAGTACGGGGTTGAGGCCTTCCCTTTCAGCATTGGCGAGCGGGCCATCGGTAATCTTTCCGGTATACACTCTCCGCTTCGCGTTGTCAAGCAACACGGAAGCAGCATCAAGGAAGAGCCAGGGGGAAACTTCTTTTCTCGAGCTGCCTGGCGGAGGCTGGCTGGCTGCGAGAACGACATCGATGTACTTATTGAAGTCTACTGCGTTCAGCACAAGTAGTGAATGGAGTATGTTCCTCAGCATGGTCAGATCGCGAACTATCATCTTTGTTCTAAACGACACTCTGTGCCACACTGGATCGAGCTGTCGTCTGACGATCGAGTCGAACGATCTGTGCAACGCGCTGTCCATGGTGAAGTCGAGCTCGATGACGCCGGAGTTCATCTTTTTCAGCTCCGAAATACTGACTTCTACGCATTCCAAGACAGCATTCTGTATATCGCGCATCGCTTCGGTCATGGGCACCTCCAGCTCAATGACTTCTGCCTTCCTCTTACCCTCCAAGCTCTTTGCGACTGTGACATGGAAACGAGGGTATAGAACGGGCTTTCGCAGAAAGAGGTTCCTGAGAACGTTGGTCAGAGGTTGAAAGCCGGTAGTGAAGGGCTCGGGCTGATCAGAAAAAGCCTTCAGAAAGCCCTTCTTGTTTTTCTGGCGAAAGATGCGCACGATGAATGCTTCCAGGCTTGTTGCTACCACCCGTTCGGCATGCAATACTACCAGCCCGGTGACAGTAGCCGGGTCCAGCAAGCCCGACAAGAAATCGACGATCAGAATGCGAGAGGTAATGGAGCAAATGCCGCCGCGCTTGTACATTCTCTCGCGTTGCGTGACATTGGTCATATCGGTGTTGACCAGCTGCATGCCTCTGCACTGCGGACTGCCGGACACGGCGGCGTGCTCAGCCAACGACTCGCCGATCCAGTCATTCTCGCGATCTTCTGCGCCTACGAGGATGACGAGGTTGTGCCCTGCCGCATCGTAGGAGTGCAGGAGATTGGTGACAAGGCGGAGCAGGCCGAGACCTCGCGCCAGGATGAGAAGCTGGTCCTCATCGCGCAGGGAGTGGAAGATCTCTTGCTGGAACTCAAGAGGGAGTGACAGGCGCACCGGAGGCTCGGCGGCGGCGGCGTCGTTGGCAGCGGAGGCCATGGGGAGTGGGAGCTCGAACGCGGCGACATGGTGTGCAACGAGGCAAGCATCATCAGCCACGCGAACCTTGGGACGCGCTGCCACGTGCGCCAAGCAAACCATGATGGCCTTCAATAACTGCACTTACAACATGTACATGGAACGAATTGTCATACTTTTCTGCATAATTGCACGGGCCCCCATCGCAGTAGCACACATTCCCTAAAATGCTGCCTCGAACGATCTCCTGCCTTCCCCGCCAATGTCAGGCGCCACCGAGGGTTGCATGGGCGGTGGAGAGGGCAGAGGAAGAGGATTCGATAAACTCCTCTCGGATCTCTGCCTTGCAACAGCCTCCACGACTGTTTCAAGGTCTTCTCGCGCTGCGGTAGCATCTGAGAATACGGGAGCTGACATCGAACGACCGGCCATCGCGGTCTCCTTCGGCAACACCACGTGCGGATCACTGGAAGGTGCCCAAATTGCGGCTGCCGACTCGCGCCGTTGCTCATCGAACGACAACGTCTCTATCAAATCTGCCGGCTCGATTGATGTTACTACATCACCCTGATCTGCTGGATGCGGCGCGTCGGTTCGATGGCCAGCACTTGTCGCATCATTGCGGTCGTGGACATTTCCATTTCGAAGCGATCTGTCGAGGGTACTGCTAAGGTGCGCTTCGGGCATGGCAGCGTTCGGACTGCTTCTAGGAACATTGACCGGGATGTGGCTGCTCTGAGTCGCCGGACTGTGTTCATCGCTGGCCGTGTTCTGCTCGGGTTGCAGATCGACATCGCGCTCTAAAGGAGACTCATGCCCACCAGTGTCCGCATTCTCTATTTCCCGTTCCTCTCGGACAGTTGCATTATTGTCGTCGTCGAGCCGAGACTCTGGCCTTTGCTGCGGATTCGAGCTAATTTTTGAAGTTGTGTGCAGCTCAGATGCTCGATGCTGAGGCCTGCTGGCTTGGTCATCTGCATCTTGGAGCTGGGGAGGAGCTGGTTCGTCGTTGCTATCCGGCTCAACGAAGCGGCCACGACTGCTTGAACTGCCCGGCTCTGACACTTCTCTGGTAGTTTCAGCGGCTGTGACGGGGCCAGCGTCGCCAGCAGACGTGGGTTTTCGGGCGAGTTTGTTGACATCGTCGGATTCGGCCACTTCAATAGGCTTGCTGGCAGGCATCACGACGTCGTTCAGGCCTTGCAAGACTGCCAACACTCCTACAGAGAGCTCTTGGGGGCTGATATTTGCCCATGGCTGAGCTTTCCTTTCTCGCAATCGGCGACTTGCAGCATTTACCACTTCATCGAACACAGTCCGATTCATTGCTCTTTCAGCTGCAACATCTCCTGGCCGACTTTGAGACCTGCAGCTATCGTCTTGGGCCGACTTTTGGCTCCCACGAGCTTCGACGGCTTGTTCGGTTTCATTCTTCGATTTAAAGCGCCATGAAAAGTGATGTAGACAAGCGTACACCATGAGGAACATTATGGGGATGATCGAACAATTTGTGGCCATGTTCCAGCATGATATCTGGGGATTGATGTCGCAAAACAGGTTGACATGTGAGCCATCAATCGTCTCGCCGATCATGGTGACACCGGGATGGGCAGCAGTGAGCGTGATTGAGCACTGTGAAAGCTGCGTTGTGACCGTTCGCATTGCGGCTGTTTTGGTCGGCTCGACATCGTCCTGGGTCGAGGGTGATTCTTTGAGCCTCGTTGGCTGCCTCACTGAGTCGTCTTCGGCCAAGGAGAACTGACTCTTCTCGCCAGGTGTCACCCACTCACCATCCGAAGCCGCTGCAGAGGAACCTTGTTACAGACTGGTCAACATTCCAATCCTCGAACATGAGATACAATGAACACTCACCACTGACGCCGAAAAGAATACCACCATCCCGCACTGCCACCATCGGCAACGCAAGAAGCGGATCGTTTTGACTCATTGACGCTGCGGCCTATAGTCAGCGCAATCATTCGTGACTGTTGAAGCATCATAAGAAAGATCGCGCTGTCTGCTGCACTCCGCATGTCCTCATTATGAGCGGAGCTAATCCGGCGATTGTCGACAAAGCCACACAAAGACTTCGAGTTCAAGCAAATCGTTACTGAACTTTCTTTCAGGATACCTCTGGGCGACTCCATGGGCAATTAGAAGGATGGCAGCTTTCCAGTTCAACGACCACATGTTTTTCTGGCAGCCAGCCCTGATCATTGATCAATGGTCGGTCAGTGGTAACAATGAGGGCTGGACGTGATCTTTGCTTCATTAACGGTCCCATGTCTCACCATCATCGTCAAGCTTCTCGATCTGACATCGAAGACGGTGCGGTGAGGTCGCGTTCCGTCAAGCGTGAGATGGTGTAAAGAACATCCCTGCCATCGGCAACCGGAAGGATGACAATCGCGCCAAGGCACGCATAGCCTGACAACATGCAAATGTTTGCAATCATCTTACTGTATCTCCGCATCCATCCGACTCGCGACGAGCCAGTGTTCCAGACCAATCCGCTAAATCGTACTCATCATGCGGCCGCACAGGTCGAACACGGAGCATCGGGCTCGTACATCGTTGCGGTTCCGTTGTCAGCAGACACGCGAACAATGCTGTGGCATTTCGACTGACGCATTGTAAAGCCCGTAGACATGGATCAGGCCGTGCAAAGACACGAGGCTGTTCCTCGCGTATCTACATATTACGGCGGCGCCTGTGTGCGAGACCGTCAGCTTGTCTCGTTCACACCAGTGATTTGCAACGCGACATTGATGCGACCCCAAAATGCCATCAAGTACTCCCAGAGATTCGTCCTCGGCCAGCGAGCGAGATTTTCGTCAGAAGCGGATTCTGTTAACCAATGGCCGCATGCCTGTCTCACTGGACCTCGCTCGACAATTCAAGTTAGCAGGCCACATTGTCTTCTGCATCGACCCACACAGCACGCATCTCTGCACCTTCACTCGAGCAATCAGGCAAAGCGCACAGATTCCTGCGCCCCACAAAAATCCCCAAGGCTATGTGCGAGCTGTCAAAGACTTGGTGGGCCGCTGGGAAATCGACATTATCGTACCCATACATGAAGAGGTCTTCTGCTTAGCTGCAAGCGACGAGCCTGACATAATAAGCCGCCTGTTCGCGCCACCTCTGGATCTGCTCGTTCGGCTGCACGATCAATACGAGTTCGCAAAGTACGCAAAACAGCTTGGGCTGCTAGTACCACAAAGCTTCCTGTGTGAAAGCGCAGCCGACCTGGAAGAACTTCCGCTTCACGATTTTCCAAACGGAATGGCACTGAGACCATGCTTCGGGCGTTCATATGCAGGCATCCGTCATGTCAAGCCCGGCGATCCCATACCGAAAGACCTCGACATCAACGAAGACAATTGGTATGTGGCGCAGGAATGGTTGGAGGGTGAGATTTATCACAGCTACAGCGTCGTGCGGAACGGCCACGTGGAAGCCACGGGCTGCTATCCTTCGGAGGAGACTAATGACGGCAGCCAGAGGGATCTCCTACAACAGAAGTTCTATCCTGGGGTATACGAATACGTTCAGCAGTTTGTGGCCAACGTACCAGCCTTCAGCGGACAAATCTCATTCGATTTCATAGAAACAGCACACGGACTGCACGCCATCAAGTGTAGCGTGCTGGCCACACCTGGGCTGCACCTGTGGTCCAATACACCCTGGCTAGCAAAAGCTATCACAGGATCTCTTCCAAAGGAGGATATCGAGAGACCCATCCGGCCACCAAAGAGACTGCACGGACACGAATCACACTATCGAGTAATCCCCCGGCTGCTCATGTGGAAGAATGAAGATGCCACAGTACGCGCATGGCTCAAACACATGCGCCGTTTGGTCTTCACCAAGGATGTCATTCGGGACTGGGGTGATCCAATGCCAACTATCGCGCAGCCATTTCTGCTGACGGCATATTATCGCATGTGTCACAACCATGGCTTACGGCTGCCGAAGTTTATTCAAGCGCAACTAGTCTGGGAGCCAAAAGGGCAGGAGCTGCAGGAAATCCGAGCACTGTTCGCGAAGAAGGATTCGGTCGTTGCTGACAGTGGAATCGAGCTGCGTCCCATCGCATCCAAGTGAACGCGATCGCTGTACAGAGAGAACCAGTCTCTAATGTCACCGCTTGGGGGTTTATTCGACGTGACCAGACGTTCGGCTGCAAACTGTGAGGATGGCTGCTGGCGGGTCTACCCTTGTACAGCTCGGCTGTCACTTACAGCAGCATCGTGCGGACACAAGCCCACTTATTGAATTTGCCGGATGCGGTAGGCGCATAAGGGCTCGAGTGCTCAATGTGTGGTATGGAAAGCGCAGAGCTATTATAGCGGTCGCCAAAACGTGGACGCGAAGTGGCTGCCATTGCTCGACGACCATGGCCACCATATGGCACGACTACTTCCCGCATCTTGGAAGCCATGATCTGAAAGGAAGTTAGGCGCACTTATCGCACCTGGGCAGCAGAAATCCTGCATGCGACGCACCACAGAGTCGAAATTTCGTTTGGCCTAGTTTTGGCAACTGCTGGCTGGGAATAAGGCTCGGTGTTCCTTGCTGATATCGAAAAGTCTTGGGAGGTCGTATTGTGGCGCACTTGAGAGTAGCATTGACCGGCGAGCCAGTTGTGGAAGGCAGCTGGCATGTGCTGGCAGCATGCAACGGCCGGATAGGCGCAGGGTGGAGCTTACGTAGCTTACATAGGCTTTGCCACCGGCATCGCATTCATCTTGCCGCCTTTTCGCCCTCAGCACACACATCGTACGCGTCGCAGCATATCGAAGCCGTCCTAGGGTGGTGTCGCCCGTGGCGTTGTGCACTGGAGTTTGGAGCTGCAAGAGCTCTCCCCAGCCGCTTAGCGCTCCAACCGGAAACGTCAAAATCTCTCGCACAGCTCTCGGTTAGATCTAGCCCTCGACACCCGTCGCCGTCTTCCGACTGCATGTGGACGTCGCTTGCGCTTGCACAGAGCACACGACTCCTCATCGCGCCTCTGCGACTCTTGGATTGCTCCGCGGACAATTGTGCTGTTTCGCCACCCATCACCATCGTCCGGCCATCGTGGTCTGACTGACGCTCATCGCGGCCAGAACGGCAGGCCACTATCAGCCCTAGCAGTGCACCATCATTCCACAGAAATCCTTCGCCCAGTAAAATCCTGCCCGCACAACCATGTCTACAGCTGCATCCGATGCATCGCCCACTTCGACCACCTCTTCACCAGTCACGTCTCCGATCGAGCAACACTTGATCAAATTGACCTCCGACATTGTCGTGGCCTGCAACGCCCGACAATGGGATCCCAAGACCTACCCGTGGACACACATTGCTGCGGACTTTGTGGCTGGCAGCACCTTCGCAACATTACCCTCGGAGCTTGATTTCGCGGGCTTTTTGCATGAGTTCAGTCTGCTTTATGGGTCGAAGCCAGAGTTCTATGTCCGCCCGGTGGACATCACGGCTAACGTCAGCGAGAAAACGGGAAAGGCCACAGTATTCGCCAATTTTGAGAATGTCAACTTCACTCCTGGTGTGCTGCGGTACAGCGTTGGGAGACTCGACTTCCAGGGCCTGGGAAATGGCCGCTGGGTCTGTGTCAGATATATGAGCGTCCCCGTGGGCGAGAGTCCTGCCGGCTAATCCTCGCGCTACGTCGAGCCTCGACTGCAAAAGATCAGTCAATCCAATATAATGCCCAGCGCGGCGGTAGCCATATGAGAGTCTCCACGGGTCTTGGACATGCTGGCGAATAGAACCTGAGTTTACTGGCCTGTCAGCGATGCAGCGCTGACCCAACAGTAGCAAGAAAGACGACAATAGATGTGTTCGAGGCGTCATGCTGGTATCTAAAAGCAGAGAGTGTGATGCGCGTTACCATAGACCGGCCTAAAGATGGATATTGGCGTGCGTTGCGCACGCCAGCGATGCTATGACCGAGTGACTGTGCTCGCAGTTGGCGTGTGTGTCAAAGAGGGAATCAATTGCTTGACAGGGTATCTGGAAAAGCGTTTACCGGTGTGTCGAAGTTGGGATAGTAGCCGCGGTGAAGAGAGGTCAGTCTCGCACAGCTAATGGTGCATTCGAAAGCGGAGGACGTGCGGCGACATCCACGTTGATTCGAGTCTAGACATGCAATTACTTACGCCTTCAGGCAGTCGTCTTTGCCTTCTTGTTCTTTCTTTTCTTCTTTCTCGTGCCTTCTTTCACATTGCTACTGCTCTGTGCGGTGTCTCCCACACTCACATGGTTTGCTCCCGTGCTGACTTGGTCGCCAAGGTTCCCGAGTATGCGCTCAAAGCCGCCAGTCGGCTCATCAGGGGTGCCAAATGTCTCTTTACGCCATTGCTTCAGCCGTTGCTTTTTACTGTAGCGCTTCTTGTCCCGTTGTTTCTTCTCTTGGTCACGGAATGCGGCCATCTTTTTCAGTCCAGCGTACTGATTGAGTGCAGTGTCGTCAGCAAACAAGATGTCTCGAGCAGATAAGCCAAATGATGTCGGCGAGGTTTCGCGATATCTGAAACCAGTGACTGGAGTCTTGTGTGAAGCCGCCGTTGTCAGTGTCGGGTGGTCGAGCGGAAGAGCGGAATCGATCATCTCCTCTAGCTTGGCTCGTTCCTTGCGGGCTACTCGCTTAGCATCTGCCTTCTCCTTCTCGCGGTCCTTCTTCGTTTTACGCTTCTTCTGCGATGGCTCGTCGACATCAGGCATATCCTCGTCGGAGTCCTGTGGAAGAGGCGCTCCGCCCTCGTCGTCTTCGTCATCGGTCAAGGTGACATGTGGTTCGAGCTCGGCGTCAAAGTCAGGTATGATGTCGTTGATGTCGATGTCGTCGTCGAATTTGGGTTTCTTGGGCTTGCGGGCCTTCCGAGATCCAGTTGCTTCGTCTTCATCGCTCGATCCAGCCTCGTCTTGGGCGTAGTAGTCTTCTCCGAAGCGGCGTTTCATCTCTTGCTCCCACTTTTCGTCGTCGAATTCGCCTTCGATCACATCTCGCCATTGCTCGAGGTCAAGCTCTTTGCCTTGTAGGCCAGCTGCCTCCTTGATGCGCTTGACTTTCTCTTCTGCTTCTTCGACCTTGAGTTTCCGTAACCGCGCCTTCTCTTCATCGCGCTGTCGCTTGGCAAGTTCCTTTGCTTCCCTCTCGCGTTCTCTTTGCCGAGCGCGTCCTGTCTTCTCTTCTCTTCGGACGCCATATTTGCCCACATCACGCGAGAACGATTTCAACTTCTCATTCGCTGTCGGATCTTCGTGGCGCAAATTGTAAAGATTCTCGTACTCCTCAGCTCTCTGGTCGTCCTCACTATCGTCGGATTCCAGCGGCTGGAAGCGAGCCCCTTCATTGGGCAGCCAGGCTCGAGCTGCCATGAAGTTGGACAGGAATGTCTCCGGATCCTTGTCGGCATTGTTCACATCCTGCTCTGTGATTGCGACTTTTTGCTTCGACTTCGTCGTTGCACTAGGCAAGTCCTCGTGCCTGCTCTTTTTCTTGCGAACAAGCATGTCGTCTCCGTCGTCGTCGCTCTCATCGTCGCTCGGCTGCGCATGCTCTGCGGCAGCATGCATTTGACCGACGAGCTTTCGGCGCATCTCATCCTGCTCTTGCTGGTAGGTCTGTACCGGTGCTCCAGCCTCTTCCCCATCTTCCCCTACATCGCCGGCGAGCAGTCTCTCCCGCTGGTAATCGTGCAGTGTCATTGGCTTCTCGTCCCGTTTCGACATGGTCTTCTCGGGATCGAAATCCTGGAAGAATTTTGCATTGGGATCTTTCACCCTGGGATCCTTATTCCGGATGGCTTGGATCACGTCTGCGATCTCAGCATCGACACGCTCGTCGGCCAGCTCTGCATCGTCGTCCTCCTCTTCGTCGGAACTCGAGTCCTCATCATCGTCCTCGTCGTCATCAAACCTTCGCTTGCTTCCCACACCGCTGCCGCTGCCATATTTCTCTTCCAATCGTTGCTTTTCTTCCCGCTTCTTGTTGTGCTCAAATCGCGCGGCATATGCCTCGTTGATTTTGAAGCCTTCGCTTCCCGTGAGCTGGACACCCGCATCGCTTTCGCTGTCGCTGAACTCCAGCTTTTGCTTCTTCGCGGGGCGAGGCATGTTGTTCGGCAACAATTGATATGCCAGAGATGGTATGAAGCTGTATTGTGTATGGCTTGCATGCAAGCTGGAAAATTGTCGAACAAGGTTCGGCGGGCCGACCAGCTGCAGGGCTCGTCTCGTGGCAGCGAAATCACTTTCTTCAACTGCCACTTACTGTACAGACAAACCTCATACATCGTAGTGCAAAATGGACGACTTCGATACTACCGACCGGCCGAGCAAGAGGCGACGTCTGTCTGACGATGAGGACCAACAAGTACCACCAGCTGTAGTTATACAAGAGGGCTTATCCCGCATCAAGAAGAAGACTACTGCGGATCCGAGACCAGATGCGACATCCTATCAGAAAACTGAAAACAATGGCAGCACTTTACAGTCCATTCAGGATTCCATGGACGACAATGAGCCACTTACCTTCACGGATCTCGGCGTATCGCCATGGCTAATCCAATCCCTGAAAAATCTATCCATTTCTCATCCGACGCGCATTCAGAAGTCTACAATACCTCAAATTCTAGCTGGACGAGACTGCATCGGCGGTAGCCGCACTGGCAGTGGAAAGACGATCGCATTCTCCCTACCAATACTACAGCAATGGTCAAAAGAGCCGTCTGGCATCTTCGCATTGATTCTGACCCCCACGCGGGAATTGGCCCTTCAGATCTACGAACAAATTCAAGCTATAGGAGGCAACCAGGGAATCCGGTCAGTACTTGTCACTGGTGGAGCTGAGATGCGAAAGCAGGCCATCGAGCTGGAAAAGCGTCCGCATGTCGTAATCGCTACTCCTGGACGATTAGCGGATCACGTACTCAACAGTGGCGAGGACACTATCAAAGGTTTTAGGAAAGTCAAGTTCGTCGTATTCGATGAGGCAGACCGGCTGCTGCAATCAGGGAAAGGGAGTATGCTCAGAGATGTCGAAAGGTGTCTGGATGCTGTACCCAGCGCTGCGAAGCGACAAACCCTGTTGTTCACTGCCACTGTTACACCAGAGGTTAGAGCATTGAAGGAGTCGCCCCGAGAGAATGGTAGGTTATTCGCTCTGCTTTACCTTGCAATACGTTCAGACTCTTCGTACTGTGATGATAGTGGCTAATCGTCGCTAGGACGCTTGCCACCATTCATATCTGAGGTCGACATCGATTCGCTGGCAATCCCCCCGACTCTGCATCAGACGTACCAACTCGTCAATGTACTGCACAAGGAGAAATATTTGCATGTTCTTCTTGGAACTCCAGCAAATGTAGAGAAGACGACCATCATCTTCGCAAATCGTGCGGAGACTGCCAATCTCCTCGAATACATGCTTCGAGGCTTGGAGCATCGTGTGACTGCATTGCACTCTGGATTAGCACATGAAGATCGAGTCAATAATCTGGCGCGATTCAGAGCGAAGGCAGCAAGAATTCTGGTGGCTACAGGTGAGTCATTTGGCGATGCTCTTTTCCACTCTCACGCTCACCCTGTGTGACCGAGATGAACTTGCCAACTCCTGGCTTCACACAGCAATCAACGCTAATCGGCCTCCCAGATGTTGCATCGCGTGGTCTCGATATACCAGACGTCGGTCTAGTGATCAACTACGACCTTCCACGTAATCCAGACGACTACATTCATCGTGTCGGACGTACTGCACGAGCAGGGAGACGCGGTGTAAGCATATCGTTAGTAGGTCAACGAGACGTCGAGCTTGTCAAAGCAATCGAGGAGCGAGTTGGAGAAGAAATGGTCCAGTACGAAGAAGAAAAGGTCTCTATTGAGACACGTGTGATCAAAGAAGCACTCAACGTGGTCGGCGACATGAAGCGAGAGGCCATGCTTGCTATCGAAGAAGGCCGAGATGTGAAAGGGAAGCGAAAGCATGGCGCTGTCAATGCCTTGAGAGCCAGCAAGAAGAAGAAGGCGGCATAAACAGCGTTGCATGTCTTTCAACCTGCGAACGATCTCGATGTCGGAGAAACGATAGCTTGAGACCAACACAGGACCACGATGGCCTGTCACCTCAAATGTTACGTAAGCGACACATCAGGCTTGGCACATCTGGGGCCTCGGCCCTCTCGGTCCATTGGACTTCGCGTCGGCATCAGCAACGAAAACAATGACACATGTATATCCAGTCCCCTATCATGGAATGATTCACAAACAGGAGGTATACTGTTACATCGAACCAAAATGCCGCGAGGTCGGGGAGGGCGCCCGACCAGGACCGAGCCCTTGCTACACCACCCGGGCAACACTTATCTACCGTTCGCCAAGCTCATCGACCTCGAGAAGATTGACAACAATACATATCGGAGCATCGCCCCTGCCTTCGCCCCAGGTGGTCCTGTCGGTGTGGGCAGATCCTATGGAGCCCATGTATTCATGCAAGCAGCTTGGGCTGCTGCTCAGACGGTCGAGCCCGGTTTCCTCGTTCACAATGTCTCAGGCAACTTCATTCTCGCTGGAGAATTGAACGTCCCCTTTGTTTATAAGGTTCATACGATACGAAACGGAAGGAGCTATTGCACTAGGATAGTCAACGTTACCCAAAGCCAAGGCAAAGGAATATGCTTCACATGCATAGTGTCCTTCAAGACGCCCGAACATGTGCAAGTTGAATCTCAAGAGCAGGTTGACCTCTGGCAAACGTACGCAACAGTACTAAAAGACAAGAGACCGTCTGACTTTCCCGAAGTTCCTTCAATGGACCTGCCGTTCTATTGGAAGCGACGAGAGGAGACTGGATACAACGACAAATTTCCTGGTCTTGAATGTCGCAAAGTCGACATGTCTGCTTACAACAAAGATAAACACCCCCTCGACCGGAGGCAATTGATTTTCTACCGCACGATAGGCGATATGCCGAACGATGAGAATATGCATCTCTGCGCACATCTTTTCGCGTCAGATCGGAACAGTCTTTACATCGTTGCTAACCATTTTGGGCTGGGCGACTACTTTACGAGTATGAGCAGTCTGGTGCACACTGTCATTATGCACAGCCCGGCTCCTGCCACGCTCTTCGGGTCACAGACGTCTCCGAACCACCAAAGATCACCGCTTGATGACGAATCTGGGCGCTGGTTTTGCATGGAATCTTGGGGTAGCAGGGTGTCTAGCGGCCGGGCAGTGTATAATTGTCGAATATGGAATAGCAGGGGCGAGCACATTGCCACGGCCATGCAGGACGGCCTGATACGATACGCTGCCAACCCGAAGCAGCCGACGGCCGAGGAATTGAAGTTTCTGGCGGATAACACCAGGAAGTGGGAGGGGAGAGGCAGAGAAAAGAAGCTCTAGGACGCCAGATGCTCATATTGTGCTCGTTACACACGATGATGAACATAGACATATAAGCACGCGATGAAACAAATTGATATCATGATTTCGCAGCGTCGGCCAGTTCTGACGGGTTCATAGAACCTTCCGCTGTCCTGCTCAACGCCTCCCAAAATCGAAATCACCATATTGGCAGCACAATCTGATTTCATTCACTCGCCGCTGCGAATCTTGCGCGAGATGAGTGGTCTCCGTCACGTTCTGCAGCATGAATGAAGTATGGTCCAGGATCGACGGCCAAGGATGGCAGCAGTATCGTGACATCGCTCTATCAAGTATGGTCCTATTCATCCACGTGGAAATGCAAGGCACAAATTCTATCTAGACTGCCACGGCTGCATAGATAAAGAGCCTCAAGGATCACTGCTGATCATGACCTCCGCAGCCAGAAGTGGAAGAGGATCCCTTCTCGCTCTCTGATCGGCAGTCGCATGGCTTAAGGTTCTCTCATGGTATGACCTGATGGAGTATGTGCATTGAGACAAGCAACTTAGGTACTACAGCCCTAATATCCTGTAGTTCGCAACATACTTTTGAAGGTTGTGGCATCCGTTCATACCTTTATCACACTCACTACAGGAAGAACTGTCCCTTAATGTGCTTCGACTGACTGCTTGCTGTTGGACATAGGCATTTTGGACGGCGAAAGATCCGGCAACCTCTGCATGAGAGCTATCTTAGCGTATCCAGGCACTCGTCGGTCGTCACATGGACCATTGCAGCGGGTCCGCTCAACCAGCCGCCTGGGATTTTGGGAAGCACAATATCGTATACCTCGCGAAGCTCAGATGCCCTGCTTGGCGGTGGTTAGTGCTACAAGTCAGTTACTACAAACGCCGCAATTGCCGCATGTTGCGCAAACGAACGCAGGGCCTTCGTTGTCAGTAGAGCGCCTCCGCCAGAAGCCTCTGACGGATGGGCGCCTTGTGCAGCTGGCTGCAATATGACATGCATGCTGTCGTAAAAGGCCGTTCCTCATTTTTACCGCTTTGGATATATGCCGATACTGTTTGCAGAGGCGTGCTGGGCACGGCTAGAACCAAATTCGGTGCTGAATTTGCTGGTAAGCTTTTGGCCTTCCCCGTCTTGCCCAGACGATCGACAAGAGATCGTCTCTGATCTAACCGATTCAAACCAAGCCACCGCAACGGCAGACGTAAGGTCTTGAACCACTTTGACTTCCTCGAGTGCGTTGAACAGAGGAACAGATAAATACAACTGAATCCAGCTGGTTATTGCGACGTCAACAGCGCACGAATTTGATGCCTCTCGTGCATGGATATCGGAGCGTCGAAGCAAATGCTGTGGAATATTGCAATTGCCCCCAGAAACGAACAACGCCTTCAGGGTCGTCCAAGACACCAATTCGCAATCCACATCATCTTGGTAATGCCATGCTTTGCTTAGAGGCCAAGCTCATACATACTGCGCTTGCTTCTACCACCATCGTCAGATGCCAACACTTTCAGCCGACGGCAAATATTGCGCTCATATAAGTTCCGCGCACGTTCTGTGATGTCGTTTCGAATGTAGTCGTTGAGTTCTGGTTGCCCGAAACATCGAGTCTCTTCTTTGTTGTTCCGATATACGATCAAAAATGTTGCGGTCAGCAGTGTTTGCCCTGTCGGCGCTCGCGACCCTCGTGTCGAGCAAGCCACTGCCAGAATATGAGGAAGTTGTTCAGAAACTGAAGACACGTCAATCGACGGCTCCTCCTGGCGGCCAACAGGATGGCGACTTCACATTCTATCAAATGCCAGTGAGTGCGATTGCTTGAACGCGTTTCTCCTGTGGCGATTACATGGGCGAACTTGTGCATTGCATATGCTTATCTTTTGATGTAGTCAAAAATCTCGGGTATCTGCGATTTGTGCTTGGGTCCAGATGGTGCCTTGTGGGGTGTTCAACAACTCATCAACCAGATCATGCGTCTCGACCCCGAAACCGGAGAAGTGGAAGAGTTCCCAATTCCCTTCTCACCAGGTATTGGCAACATCACAATCCCTGGTCTGAATGGCGCCTTTGGAGGCTTGATCCAAGATCGACTGGCCCTGTCCTGTGCGATCCGTCCAGGTGCGGATGGTAAAATGTATGCTTGCCAGTCCGGACTGATCAATGAACGACGCTGACGTGAAGCCCAGTTACAACACCAACGGCGCCCGAAATCAGCTGGTGCAGTTCGATCCAGCGACACGAGAGTTCAAGCTTTTCCAGGCACCGTGAGTCCTTCCGCATTGGTGGTCAACAAACAAATGCCATTGTCTCTGTGGTCACTTCTGTGCCCATATGATCGGGAATCCCAAAGGCTAACCTATCTCTCTCGACAGAGTCAGCCCTCTTGGTAACCTGTTTCCATTCAACGACATCTTCACCGATGACGGCGGAATGTGGATGACCCAAACCACTGCCAACCTTCTGCAGTATTTTGATTATGAGGCACAGGACTTCACCATCACGGTGCAGATCCCCACGCCGCTCGCGCTTCCTCTCGGTGTCTTCGTCACTTCTGATGGCGGTGTTTACGGCTGTGAAGTCCTTGGCAACAAGATCTTCGAATACAAGAGGGATACCGGCGAGGTCGTGGAATACAACGTCCCTGTCCCACTCACAGCACCTGCTGTCAACCGTGCTGAGCGTGATGGGTTCATGTACTTCTCTGGTTTCGTCGGCAACAGCCTTGGTCGCATCAACCTGCAGACCAAGGAGATCGAGATTTTCCCTACCGGCGAGGTTCGTACAAACTTGCTTTCGGTCCAACTAATGGCGATTCATACTGACTTATATGACAGCCTGCCGCTTTCGGTTCCGTGACTGCAGGTCCTTCAGCTGATGGCGATGTCTGGATGAGCTTCTTCACGACCACCAACGGCCTCTTCCGCTTCAACAGAGAGGAGGAGGGCACCGTCGAGCGCTTCCCAGGCCTTTTCACTTCATCAAGAAGTCCATTCAGGCTTGCGCAGCCATTGACCAACATTCCAATCCTCGGCCCAATCCTTGGCAACATCCCACCCTACCTCTCCATTTCCGTCGAATATGGGCCTGGCGATGCTGTATGGTTCGGATCTTTTACCAGAAATGCCGTGGGTAGACTGCAATTGTAAGCAGTCCGCAGCTAGAGTGTCCTCGAGGCTGCCGGAGTGGCTGAAGATGGTCTTTGCGCATTGTACATCGAAGAGATGAATATCGCGTCAGCTCCACCCCCTGACGAAGATGTGTATATAACTGGGTTGCGTTGCAAGTCCACCTGCATATCATGATGAAATTAGCCACATGAATTGGCGCTGTTCAAACTTGAGACTTTCTGGCCTTGTGATCTTATTCTCATTGAACGCCTATCGAAGATGCGGCCTGCACAGGTAGTGGGGAGAATATTTTGGTGATCGCGAGTGTTAAGAGCGAAGTGGTGAAGTGGGTGAGAGTCTGAAATGACACCCGCACCTTCCCAGATCCATGATGGCGTCCCGCTCCGCTGTCTGGAAAGCACGCACGGCGGGGCCGATGCTTCTTGCCATCACAGCTCATGCAAAGAAGACATACCATTTATCATGTCATCTTCAGAGCATCGAACACAGCACAGTCGTCGAGCGATACCATGATAAAAACTTCACCTTGTGCTTGGGGAAGGTTCGAGCCACGCCCGAGCACGTGGCGTTTTGTCCGCGAGCCATTGGCACTGCAGCACCGCGATTATCCTACCCTACCACAGCAAGATGACAGACAGGCCTCAGGCCAGCAAATACTATGAAAAGAGTCAATTCTTCCGTCACAACGCCACTACAATTCACTCAACATTGCAACAATGCCACAGCAAGAACTTGTACCCAAAGCTTACACATTGCTCAGCTCGAGCGAGACTTTCTTACATCTGCAGACGACTGACACTCCAGCGCCAATCGACTTCACGTTCGAAGCTATCAAGCCAGACCTCTTTCGCACAACTTTCACATCTGAAACTCATCCTCCTCCACCATTTCCAAGTGCCCACAAGCCTAGCGCAGACAACGGATCCTTCACAAGCACTTCTGCCGGCAGCAAGTCAAGAACATTCGCCTCTGGCAATATTGAGGCCAGAGTGGACTGGGATGTAACTCCCATTGTTTCTGTAGGCTTCGCTGGGCAACAGCCTCTACATACCGATCTTCCATTCCGGTCTTACGTCCTCGATGGACCAGGTCAGTTCAGCACTCAATCTTCTCCCGGGACAACTCTACTGTAGACCTTCCTGATCATCACTTTGCATGCCACTTTGGATATTCTGTATAAGACACGCGAAATTCTAGACTTACATCCTCTTCTACTGCTAGGAGCTGCACACTATTCACGTTACTTCCGTGGAAGCCTCCATGTTGGACTGGGCGAGAAAGCAGCGCCGATGGACCTATCTGCCCGGCACTTCACTTTATCGGCGACTGACTGTTTTGGCTACGATGTGCATCGTACCGATCCGATGTACAAGCTGATCCCACTACTCTTCCGAGCAGGGCCCGAAGGTGTCGTCGCAACTTTCTCCACTAGCCATTCACGAGGCTACTGCTCTGTGGGCTCAGAAATGGATGGCATGTGGGGTTTCTACAAGGTCCATAGACAGGATTATGGCGGTCTGGAACTGTACACCATCATCGGCCAGACATTTGCTGAAGTTGTATCGATCTATGCGGAGCTTGTGGGCTTCCCGCTGCTGGTCCCACGATGGGCATTCGGATATCTTGGTGGCGGTATGAAGTACTCTATGTTGGACGAGCCTAGAGCATGCGATGCGTTGATGGAGTGGGCGGATACTGTAAAGAAGCACGATATTCCTTGTTCAGGATTTCAGATGAGCTCGGGCTACACAATGTCTGAGCAAGAGCCAAAGACGAGGAACGTCTTCACCTGGAATCGGCATCGTTTTCCGGAGCCAGAAGCATTTACTGCCGAGTTCAAAAAGCGTGGCATCCGTCTCATTGCAAATATCAAACCATACATCTTGGGCACTCATCCCGAGTATCAGAGGTTAGTGGACGCCGGAGCTCTGTTCAAAGATCTCAGTACACGCCACTCAGCAGTAGCCCGACTTTGGAGTGCAGGGGGTGGCGAATCAGGAGATGGTGGCCATATCGATTTCACCTCGAAAGCTGGATACGACTTTTGGTATGAGGGTGTGAAGAGACTTCGCGGAGATGGTATGGATTGTATGTGGAACGACAACAACGAATATGTGATCTCTGATGACAATTGGCAAATGGCGCTCGACAATGAGCATGTTCAAGCGTGCACAGAAAAGCGAAAAGATATAGGGCTATGGGGTCGTGCCATGCACACAGAATTGCATGGTAAAGCATCGTACGAGGCGCTGTTGGAAGCCGTCCCGCACGAAAGACCATTTGTGCTGAGCCGCAGTGGAACAGCTGGCACGTTTCGCTATGCGTGCTCAACTTGGTCGGGTGACAACATCACATCATGGGAAGGCATGCGCGGCGCCAATGCTCTTTCCTTGAATGCTGGTGTGTGTCTGATGCAATGCTACGGCCATGATATCGGTGGGTTCGAGGGCCCTCAACCCTCGCCGGAATTGCTGTTGCGCTGGGTCCAACTTGGGTGTCACAGTCCTAGGTTCGCGATCAACTGCTTCAAGACTGGTGATGACAACATGGTCGGCGATGTGTAAGTCTTGTCGCGGTAAGGTCTGAAAATGAGAAGAGCTGCTGACGATATCGCTGCCGATCAGCATCGAGCCTTGGATGTACCCGGAGATACTGCCTGAGATCCGCAAGGCGATCAAACGACGCTACGAGATGATCCCTTACATTTACGGGCTCATGCTCAAAAGCCACCTGACGGCCGAGCCGCCTCAGCGCTGGGTTGGTTGGGGCTACGAGCAGGATTCCGAAGTCTGGACAAGTCGAGTCTTGAAAGACGGCGAGCAACAATACTGGTTTGGTGACAGTTTGCTTGTCGGCGGAGTATACGAGGCCAACGTCAGTGAAGCGAAGATTTATGCCCCGAAGCGAAGCACTTCTGACCCTGGCTACTTGAACCTCAACGCCCCTTTTCAGTATCTGAGCGCTGGAGAATGGCACAGTATCGCCTCACCATGGCGAGAGAGTATTCCATTGTTGGCCCGTATCGGTGGTGCCATACCTGTCGGTAAAGACAGACAAGTCGTGGCACCTGGAGACAAGGTCAATGAAGCAGACCTACCTGCCGACGACTGGCGAGGCGTGGAGATCTTTCCATCTCGCCAGGACTTGTCCGATGGTACAGTATACACAAATGAGTGGTACGAAGACGACGGCATCTCACCTCCGCCTGCAAGATTGGCAAGGTTCTCCGTGAGCTATGCCACGACGGCCAAAGAAGTGACTGTGTGGTTCAAGCAAGATGTGGAGGCCTTTTCTCCGCCGTGGACCGAGAACGGTATCACCGTCATTCTGCCTGTGGGAGACACAAGGGAGGTTGCGAGTGGAGGCGACAAGATCGTCGACAAGAGGTGGGAAGATGCTACTGGAAGACAGAGCTTCCACTTGGCCGACCGCAGGTAGAAGCGTGTTGAACGTTGGTATGTGAAGTAAATGACGACCGCATATCGATGTATCTGATGCCTTTCAACGACTGCACAGCGATGGAGCTGACGAGATCATGGATGGGAGGAGCCTGGTGTTTCTCGCCTCTTGCCCAGCTGCCATTGCTGCATCGTCGCCCTTCCTCGTCGCTGCACCTGAAATGGGCGCTTACCAGGAGCACTTCTGCCTTGCTGCTGCCCTCTCTTGGCTGCGTGCCAGATCTGTAGCACCTTATCGAGGACGCGCTCTGCCTCTGCCCTGACCTCGCAACCCTTTGCGGTGAGGACTCGCTTTTGGTCGTTGACGAAAATCAAGCACAACGCCCCGCTGAGTCTCTCCGTTGGTGCTGGTGCGGCGCTTACGATGTCGGTCCCCTCTACGCGCTTCAACTTTGCAAGGTCCGCGTCGGACAATGGCTTCCCTTCACTGTCAAGACCTCGCTGTGTCAGAGCATGCCGGAACGCGCGTCGTAGTTTCTTCTGCACGGCATGCCTATAAGTAGGCTTCTTATTAACGTCCATCGGACAGCGGACGACCCAGCGGAAGTCTTGAGGATCATGAAGGGCAACTCTGCGTTGAATCTTGATGTACAAGGGATGAGAGGGATCCGTGGCGAAGGCGCGAGTCTGTGTGAAGGTGGTGCAGTTGAACGGCTGCGGGAAGGGCTCGTAGACGAAGTTGACCAGATGCGCAGGACCAGGACCAGTGGAGTCTTTCTTGACAGAGCTGTAGCAGCGCCGTGAGGATCCCGCGAAAGCCGTTGGCGAAGTGCTGCAGAGCACTCTCGCAGCTGCGACTACATGATGGCGCATTGGACTCTCATTCCAGCGGCCAGCGCAGGAGAGCTCGCTTTCTCCGCTTTGCTGCACCGCGTGTTGTGCTGTGCACGTGCATAAATCAGTCAATCACGTGTCAGTCACTTTTTGCGGATGCGTCACTCGGCGCTTGCGCTGCCCCTCGCCGACAAAGAGGGACACTCGCACATCTTTGTTCCCAGCGCCACACACCGACTTCTTTCACCACCACCAACACCTACTTCAGGCAACGAAGCCGCACTGCACGAATACATCAACGCCAAGCTAAGGGGGAAAGTGCAGCACCACCATGCCTAAGAACAAGGGAAAGGGAGGAAAGAACAGGCGTCGAGGAAAGAACGAGAACGACAATGAGAAGCGCGAGTTGACCTTCAAGGAGGAGGGCCAGGGTGAGTGCGCCGTCTGCGGCTGATACTACTGTCATTGCGAGAGCATGCGCTGACTGTGACAGAATATGCCCAAGTCCTGAAGATGTTGGGCAACGGCCGACTCGAGGCCTACTGCTTCGACGGATCCAAGCGCTTGGCACACATTCGTGGCAAGCTGCGCAAAAAGGTCTGGATCAACCAAGGCGACATCATCCTCCTCTCTCTGCGTGACTACCAAGACGAAAAGGGAGACGTCATCCTCAAGTACTCGGCCGACGAGGCCCGTTCGTTGAAGGCGTACGGCGAGCTGCCAGACTCAGCGAAGATCAACGAGACCGACACCTACGGTGGAGACGAAGAAGGTGGAATTGGTTTCGATTTCGGAGAAGATGATGACAGCGAGAGCGGCGACGACGTGGACATTGATGACATCTAGACGCTCCAGGAGAGCGCTGGAATGGGCTCAGCATGGCAGTCCTGCTGGTTTGCAGTAGCATGTGCAACACCACAGAATACATGATGTGATGATCGTTCGACCAAGTATATGCACTTTCCATTTTGTCCAACACTGCCCAGCTGACGCCGGAGAATTGGCCGCGGACCCAGGCCTGGGCAACGAAGTGCCTCCAAGCGGTGGTGATTGTAGTTGGGACATCTTTTCTCCTGCGATATTTCTGTAGTAAGCTGACTGCGACTGCGGCTCTGCCACTTGCGCGCGCCCATCTTCCTGTGTCCTGGCTGTCAGCAATCGTCCTCGCCGTAGTGAGCAATGCTTGTGTGAAGGTCTTGGCGCCGGACCCGCCTCTACGTAACCTCGCCTGGAGGGCTGCGCAACGCCCACAGGCACCGGGCATTCTTCCCTGGGAGCAGCGCCTTTCTCTCATTCTCTCGTACACCGCTTGCACGCTGCTCTTCCCTCGTCGCGACAGGCCATTGGTGTTGTGTCAGCCCGCGCCGGTGGAGCCTTCGACGACTGGCCTTCAGCTTCTTCGGCTGCTTTGCTGGCACTGACATATATTGATTGGCGTTGGACCAGCAGGACCCACCGAAGTGGCCGACAGAACAGCAACGAAGCCACTGGACACGCGCGCAGAAGCGACCGCATTCCTCGAACATCCGCGCCGCCATGCCTTCAATCCTGTCCGAAGAGGACAAGCAGACGGTCAAGCGCACAGTGCCGAAAGCGAGCAACAAGATTCATGCAGTCGCCGTTGCGAAGCTGTACGTCGCATACCCGAATCGCTCGCGATGGACATACACAGGACTGCAGGGAGCGGCCGTGCTGGCGAACGATCTGGTCGGTAATACTTTCTGGATCAAACTCGTCGACGTCTCCCCCGCAAACCGCGGTGTGATATGGGATCAAGAAATCTTCGACTCATGGAGCTACAACCAGGATCGCACCTTCTTCCACACCTTCGAGTTAGAGGACTGCCTGGCCGGGCTGAGCTTTGCCGATGAGAAAGAGGCGAAGCAGTTCAAGAAGAAGATGGATGAACGGGAGAAGAATGCACACAAGAACACCAGGAACAAGCCATTTGCCAGCGGTGCGTCGCTGAACGGGGGAGCATACGCAGGTGGACAGCCTGTAGAGCAGCAAGGCGGGCGAAAAAGTAAGCTAGGATTAGGAGGTCTGTTCGGACACAAGAACCACTCGCAGCCGCAAGCTTCCACGCAGAGCATCATTCCACCGCGCGGCGTCCAGATTAACGACTCAGCGCACAACAGTCCTAACAGAAGCAGGGCGAATACCGCCCAATCGAGCGACATTGACTTGAGCGACCCTGCTGTGCAAGCCGTATTGGACGACTTGATGCAAATGGGTATTACCAGGGACCAGATTCACGAACATTCGGCATTCATTAAAAGCTACCTGGAGCAAAACAAAGCCACACAGGCTGCACAGGCTGAGAAACAGGAACGCGCCGCTAGAGCACCTCCGCCGCCTCCTCCCGATGCTGCCAGGGTTAGCCCACAGAACACTGGTAGCACAGGAAGAGGGCCTCCACCTGCACCGCCGCCGTCCAGAAGAAAGGCTGGAGGCGGCCCCGCTGTGCAAAGACCACCATCACCTTCACCCAGTCCCCCAAGATCTGAGTCGCCCGCAAGAAGGACCTTCAAAGTGCCGCCACCTCTCGCTGATGCAGGATCCAAGGTCCATGCGCCTGTACTGCCCGGCCGTAATCGTGCTACAAGTCAGAGCAATCCAGGTCCACCACCTCCTCCGAGACCACCGAAAGAGCCTGCTGAGGACACACCTCCCTCGTCAGCACGTTTCGCAGTTCCGCCTCCGTTCGAAGGCAAGCGAGCTCCCGCTAACCCAGTTCCGCCCCCGCCGCCGCGGTCGGCGAACGCTGTGCCTCCGCCCCCACCTCCTCGAGACAGCCAAGCTCCATCTGGAGTGCCTCCGCCGCCTCCCCCTCGAGACTCACCTGCTCGGAACTCCTTTGGCAATGATGTGCACGCGGTGCCCCCTCCGCCTCCTCTTCCTCCTACTGCTAGTCGACCCGTCCCCGGACCACCAGCTGCACCTCCGTTGCCACCACCGAACGCAGCGAATGCACCACCTCCACCACCGCCGTTACCACCTACCTCAAGTGCGGCGCCTCCTCCGCCTCCTCCTTTGCCACCTACTTCAAATGCTGGACCGCCTGCACCTCCGCCGCCTCCTCCAATGCCAGGTCGTGCTCCTGGCGTGCCCGAAGACAGCGCCGCTGCGCTACCGAAAGTCGCAGCACCCGGGCGCGACGGTCTTCTTGCGGACATTCGTGGTGGCGCGAGGCTCAAGAAAGTATCAGACACCGAGAAACGAGATCGGAGTGCTGCCATGGTTCCTGGATCTGAGGCTGCTGCAGCCCCCGCAGCGAGCTCGACCGGTGGCGGTGATGCAGCGCAAGGGGGATTGGCTGGTGCACTTGCGTCAGCTTTGGCGGCTCGAAAGAGCAAAGTCAGTCATTCTGGTACGTTCAGCCATCTTCCCGGACTACTTTTAGGCGCTTTACTAACATCCTCGCAGATGACGAAAAAGATGACGACGATTGGTAGTTGTATGTATCAGCATGTCTTGACTGCATCGGTGCTCAAGACGCTGTATTATGAATGGAGAGAAGACGCGGACAGAGACAGTGCCGTACCTGTAAATAGCCAAGAAAGAACGAAGTTTCACCTGCTCCATCCAGACCATATTCTAAAGGCTGAAACATAATCGATGAGCCACGGTAGCAGTGCATGCCATTTTTCTGCTTTCTATACACGCCCCTGCGAGGCTGATAACAAGCTCTGCTACGGACGCCCTCCGAACCGAATGGCATCGATAAGTGACCAGCGTGAGCGACCCTCTCATCGTTTCAACCTGAGCGCCTGGTAATACCAGAAAGTTCACCCACCCATTTGTCTATGCTTGCGTTGCGTCATCTACATCATGAGGTACCCATCACAACTGCCCATCGTGATCAGCCAAATTGTGCATCGCCATATCCTGGCTGTCGCGCGGCTTATCGCCATTCGCTCCATTCAGCGTCGGCCTGGTCCCGGCAAAGCTATTGCCTCGCGAGATGCGGTCGACGCGCTCCTTCTTCGGCACTCGTCCTTCGCCATCCGAGCCAGAATCTCGAGCCACGACTTCACCGGTTTCAGCGACTGCGACGCCGTTGACAGCCATGCGCACTTGTTCGGGTTCTGCTGTGCCCATAGACACGGCCTGCATGGCCTTCTCCATCACCTTCATCTTCTTCGTCTCGCCTCGAATGCGTTCCAGGTGCTCGAAATAGGAGTCCTCGACAGGTGTGATATACTTGCCGCAGAAGACTCCGACCTCGAACTCCTGGCCTGGACCTCGCGGACTTTCCTGCGCGCAAGAAGCTTTGAGATCTTCTAGGTTTTGGTAGACCACTCCGTCGGCGCCAATGTGCTTTGCGATGTCGTCGACAGTACGCTGATGTGCTACGAGTTCTTCTTTGCTTGCCAAGTCAATGCCGTAAATGTGCGAGTGAGTGATGGGCGGCGCACAGCTGCTGAAATACACCTTGTTGGCGCCAGCCTCGCGTGCCATGCGCACGATCTCTCGGGACGTAGTGCCGCGGACGATACTGTCGTCCACAAGGAGCACATTCTTGCCCTTGAACTCAATGGGAATAGCATTGAGCTTCGCTCGCACACCACGTTGTCTTGCGCGTTGTGAGGGCATGATGAATGTGCGGAAGATGTAGCGGTTCTTGATGAAGCCTTGGCAATAGGGCTTCTTGAGGTGTTTGCTGACGGCATAGGCTGAGACCAGTGCGGTCTCTGGAAGTGGAATGACGGCATCGATGCTCTTCAGCTCCTCTGGCGAAAGCTGCTTCTGGATCGTCTCCGCCAAGCGGTACCCCATGAGTTGACGACTGCGGTACACAGATATGCCATCGATGATGCTCTCCGGTCGTGCAAAATAGACGTATTCGAAAATGTCAGGAGCGTACGCAACTTGCGGGCTGACCTGTCGGAAGACTGGCTTCTTGCCTTTCTCGATAATGACAGCTTGTCCAGGTAGTATGTCCTGGATGTTGGTGTAGCCATTTTGGTCCAGGGCGACCGACTCGGAGGCCATCATATAGTCCATCCCGCCTTCAACATCCTCGGACTGTCGCTCACCAATAACCATGGGACGGATACCATATGCGTCGCGGAAGCCGATCAGACCAAAGCCAGTCAACATGGCAGTGCATGCCCAGCCACCTTTACATCTCCTGTACATGCGCTCCAGGGCGCTGAAGCAATCCTCTGAGTTGATTCTGGCCTTTCCAGTTTCGTTGAGCTCGTCTGCAAAGACGTTCAGCATAAGCTCACTGTCCGACTCGGTGTTGATGTGTCTGTGTGCCACTTGATCGAGATACTCTTTCAGCTCCGGCGCATTGATGAGGTTGCCGTTGTGGGTGAAGCAGATGCCGTATGGCGAGTTGACGTAGAACGGTTGTGCTTCGGAGTTGGCACTACTGCCGGCGGTTGGGTATCGCAGATGGGCCAGGCCCATGTAGCCTGGCAAGTCCACCACTCTTCGACCTTCCTGAAAGACTTTGGAGGCCAGACCGTTACCCTTGCACTGGTACATCTTGCCACCTCTTGAGCAGGTTGCAATACCGCAGGCATCTTGACCACGATGCTGTAGATCTGTCGAAGGTATTAGGCAAGCTCAAAGCCTCAAGGACACAGCCTCCACGTACAGTACAGAGCTTGGTGCAGCTCAGGCGCAGCATCAGCGCTCTGGCTGGCGAGGATGACTGCGAGAATGCCGCACATCTTGGTTTATAGCGGGGGCTGTAGGTTGTAGTGGAAAAGAAGCTGCAAAGCCGAATGATTAGCAGATGCCACGATCCGGCGTGCAGAAAGTGAGGTAGGCGGGTGGTTGTCTATCAGTATTGGTGTTTCATGCCATGACGGCTCAGTCTAACATCTATATGGAAACCATAGTTCATCATGGAATCGGAGAAGAGAAATGCGACGCGCGACGTACTTGACCTATGCGGGGGTCCTCGTTGCTCGCTATGGGGGAATGCGGGTCGGCGGAGGCGGCGAGGATGGCGAGGCGGTGGTAAGCTGCGCGCGGGCGTCTAGGTGGAGGATTGCATCGCAGCAGGAGCGCTCGCGCCGGGGAATTGCGTGACGGGCAGCGTGAGGATACATTGTTCTCGAGGGTAAGATCGCGAGCATGACGGAAACTTTTCAAAAAGCCTTGCCATGTCCCACGGCTCAATCCCGCTTCCAGGGCCGAGTGCGGAGCTCGGCTTCCACTTCACTTCACTTCACTTGCGCCAACATCCAACGACCATCGCCCATCAACAGGAATTGTTCAGCTGTCTAGAAACAGCCGTAGATGCTACAGCTCACATGGCGGGTTTCGAAATGCATATTGAGGTCACTGCTCCCGCGCACCTGGAGCGACATTGCTGGATTGTCCGAAAAGGAGACATGCGCAGGCGATGCTGCTTCTGCTTCCGTCTTCGTCGATATCTGACTTCACTTCACTTAGGCTAACGTCTCTTGTCCACTTCATCAGTTCCTTCCTCACTACGTTGAGCTCATGCATGAGCGCTCGTTTGCTCGACTCACCGTTGACAAAACAAAGTTCTGCACAAACGATCCTTGCTCGGCGCCTCTTTCAACAATGCTCGTCGCCCACACCACTGACTTTTCGCATTTTGCAGTTTGCGGTTTGCGTTGCCCACCTCCGACATCTCACTTTGGTGAGTTCCGGCGCGACTTTTGACAGACATTGCAAGCCACGTCTTGCATATGCCTTAGACAAGACACCGACTCGGGCAAGCAACTCTCGCACCTCATCATGGCGCCGGAACACTCCATCTCGCCCGCCTCTAAGCAGACGACTGCTCCCCTAAGACGGCTCGGATCAAGCACATCTTCGCGGGCCAGCTCGCACACAATGTCGCCCGGACCAATTATGCTGGATGACAGTGATGATGAACTCGTGGTGATTTCGTCAAGCAAGAAAACCAATTCTCACAGCGCGTCAACTGAAGGAGCTCCGCGCTTCCAACCGCATCTATCACCGGACGCCCACTCGACCCAGCGTGGCACGAAAAATTCGAAGAGCCCAGTTCATGACGACTACGGTGTCATCGTCATCGACAGTGACGACGACGAGAACCTCGAGGAGAATGTTACGGCAGAGGCACTCGCCACTGTGCAGCGTGTTGCCACTCCACCAGGGCATGAGCTATTGGACTTTGCGGAGACACGGTACGACCAGATCATTGGTTCTGGCGTAAGCGTAGCTCTTGATGATGGCTCCTTTATGCGGATCGCTGTCGTGGTGCGAGATAGCACGGCGCCACACAATATTCTCGTTGGCGGCAATATGCTTCAGCGCCACGGACACATTGACCGACGCATCAACCGGCACGGATGGGAGCTACATAGTTGGCTGCCTCGTCGCAAGAACGAACTTTGCGCCATCGTGCGAATGACGAACAACGGAGAAGTTCCAAAGCTCGGCGAGAGCCTGATTTTCCGACCATTGGGACAGGTCGGGCTAGTGCGGGATGTGCAGTACACCAATACGCCATGGGATGAGACGGCTTCCAAGTTCCAGAAATATGAATACCGATGTGAGAGACACACGAGAGGTCTGATATCCGCCGAGGACCAGTCATGTCTGGAGTGTGTGGAAAACAGAGAAGCCAATGGACCTCTGACCTGTCGATGGAAATTTATCGAAGAGGTGGATTTGCAGCGGAACAAAATCGTCGGCTGGCAGTTTCGCCAACTGGAGCGAGACGAATGCGACCCTGGCCATGGTCTGAATCCAGTTTCGAAGCTCGCAACGTTTAGAGGTCTCGGCCTGCAGCGGCATGAAGTCTTTGCGAATTCTGACCCGGGACTTAACTTCGGCCACGGCGCTCCAAAGCGCAAGGCGGATCCAGAAAGCAGCCAACGTTCCAGTGGCGCGGGTCCAAAGCGCCCGAAGAGGCTCGTGGACGGCATGGTGGATTTGACTCTGAGTGAATCTGAGCTGGGTACCGTGACAGGAGCCGATCGTGCCCGCGATGCCGTTGAGAGGATCACTGTTACGAATCCCGAGACTGGCGAAGTTGAGGAATTCGTCTTCAAGGCAACCGAGGATCTACCAAGCCAATCAAGCTCCCGTTGGAAGGGGGAAGGCAATGCCACGGTTCCCACGTCGTCGGCTCGCCGTCACCATAAGACAACGTATACATTCGCAGACATTTGCGCAGGAGGCGGCGGCACATCCCGTGGCGCGGAACTGGCAGGCCTGAAGCTCGAATATCTCGTCGATAACATGCCCGACGCATGTCAAACACTACGCCTCAACTTTGGCGGCGATGTTGTTCTTGAGATCGACATGACGGACTTCGTTCAGATAGATGGATCATACCGCGTGGACGTGATGCACGTCAGTTTCCCGTGTCAGGGTCATTCAAGAGCCAATAGAGGACTGAACCCCGAGAAAGACGCCGTAAATATCGCTCTATCCTACGGCACCTTTGGAAAACTTCTGCAGATGTGCAAGCCGCGCCTGGTCACGATGGAACAGGTTACCGGCATTCTCAGTAAGGACGACGGGCAGCATCTACGGTCACAAATTCACACCCTAATCGCGAATGACTACAACGTCAGATGGCAATCTCACGTATTACGAGATTACGGCAACCCTCAGGGTCGGCACCGGTTGATCGTCATTGCCTCGTGGTACGTTTTGTCCTTATCAACGTTTGATTTCTAGCTACTAACGATTGTGCATAGCCCAGGGCAAGCTCTGCCCGATTGGCCTGAGCGCACTCACGGCCCAGGTCTGAAGCCATTTGTGACGATTCGCAACATCCTTGATCAGGTTCAGCGGCCTGGCCACAACAGAGAAGTTATGCAGCACGCTGTGACACGCGAGCCAGGAGAACGAGCACCATACAACCCCAATGTCCAGCTAATTGGTTGCATCACGTCCAGCGGGGGTTATCGCCGCGACAAGCACTCCAATAATTATCACCCGTCTGGCACACGCGACTTCACTTTTCAAGAAAAAGCCCAGCTCCAGGGGTTTCCATGGTACCACAGCTTCTGTGGTGGCAAGCAAATGGTCGGACTACAGATCGGAAACGCCGTCCCGCCTGTCTTCGCTGAGAAGCTCTTTCGGAGCTGCATCAAAGCTCTGAAAAAGACCGACAAGCTTGTGGAGGAGTACTTGACTCCCATTGACATTGACTAGTGTTGAGGCACACTTTCTGGGTGCAGGCCTCTAGGCCTCAGACCGGTCTGCGTCCCTCGCAATGAGGAGCATCGTTGAGGCGAGCACAACAAAAACAGCCAGCGCAGTACATGGCAGAGTTGGAGGATTGCTCATTGCTTTTGGAGTGCGGCACACAACACCGCTTTCTACAACTCATCTCGCGGCTTATTTGCCTTTGTCGCTCCTTTTGGCAGGAGTGGATGGCTTTGAAGCATGAGCATTTTGCATGGAGCTTCACGTAGGGAAACCTTCTCTGGCGGCTTGCAAGATGCTTGTGGACATATTGAACAGAGAGGCTCGACTTCGAAATTCGCTAGTCCTGTCTTGCTTCTTGCCTGACGATCATCTCGTCGATTAGCGCCCACAAGTAGTACAAACCCAATCACTTTGATGTCCTAAGGTGCAGAGAATTCCACGCCCTCAGGTATCTTCCACGTTGATTCAATGCTATGAGACTTCGTTGTCATGATGTTCCTTCTCCAGCTCTGCGCTCCCTGACTGCTGCAGTCTCTGTAGCTCCTCCTTCCGCTTTAGACCTTCAGCTCGCTTCCTCTCTCGCCTAACATCTGCAGGCTCCCAGTCACCCGCGTCACCTTTTCTGTGATCTTCCCCCTTAGATTGTAGCAAATTGCGAGCAAAACGTTCCTTCCTCTCCGCATTCGCGACAAAGCGCTGATTCGCAAGATTCAAAAGCGTCAGTAGATACTGTTCCGGTACCATTGGCCATATGGCCCCAGCACTGTCTTGATATGCAATGATACTCTCCAAAGCGAGACCTTGCGTGCGCACAGCAACATGTGGCGTGGGTTCGGAGCCTGTGACGCCTACGATGCCAGATTCGCGAAAGCCAGCTGACATGGCTGCTGAGTGGCAGTGTTGAGCGTGCGCAAGAGAAGAGGTGAGAATGTGGAGGATCTGAGTAACAGATGAGAAGAGAAAGCAAACAGAAAGTGAAATGTTCCACATACCATAGGCTCGAACTTGAAATGCACAAACCTGACGTTTTCGTCTGCCGACGGGAAAGATCTGCGGGCATCTTTCGGCAGTGAGAATAATTCGAATAGAGCGCCGTATTCTTGAACAGTTCGCACGTCTACCGGGTCGTGCGAGACGAAAAGCCAGCTGCCACCACCCTTGCCTTGAGCGGATGAAGAAGTCCTGCCTTCGTCGATGCCGCTGTCATCTTTCACTTTTGCGGCTCCTTCCAGGAATACGGAGATTCGCCCGGCGCAGCTACTCGTTGTGACATAGCCATCAGTCTCGTTGATTTGGTCTACGAGCTGTCGTATGTTCGGGTCAACAGCGCCTATGGGCGACGAGTCTGTATATTCGTCGTCCGGTTTACTCAGTGCTTGTAGAATCTTTCGTTTTTTCTCTTGGAAAATGTCTTGTTTGGGCATGACGATCAAGGAGAACGCAGTGGCGTGCAGCTTAAGTGTCGCATGCAGTGCACAACGACTCGTGTGGTCGTGCAGAAGGTGCAGGGCGTCAAGGACAAACCATCGAGTGAATATGTTAAGACATGGGGAGCCAAGTCGCAGACTTCGTACCTCCGTTAGTGGCCGGCATTGGGCGAGCGTATTGATTGGAGAGACGTCAAATCATCCCCGTCAATCGCGGCTGAAGTGCGTACACATGCGCTGTCCGATACGCAAGGCTTGCAATTCACTGCCGTATTCTGTCCGATACAGACGAGGAAGATGCTAGGAATGGGCTCTGTGGCGGAGGCGAAGTCAGCGCTCTTCCGTGCGCCAGGTTGAAGATGCGCAGGGCTGAAGGCGTCGATTGGCTGCAGAAGGACAACAAGCGAGCCCCAGGGGGCGAGATCCACTGGTGGACGCTAGTTAACTCCCAACGGCACGTGCGCTAAGCCTTCGTTGCGACGCAGCATCGTCCCGTCGTGCAGGACTGCAGGAACGCTCACTTCCTCCTCATCAACACTCTCCGCCCTCCTCCGCCGCCGCCTGACATCTGTCTCACGCCTTTCCGCTCGTTCACTGATCCGCTGTCGCTATCTGTCCGCCGCCTGGACTGCCTCTGGATCCCAGCTCACGAGCGCCAAGTCGCTCCGCCACCTCCGTGGCCTGTTTTGCCGCGACACTGGCAAAGGCTTGCGCGTTACCAAGACTGCACCGAACAACGCCTGGGACTGCAGCGAAGAGACTCCGTCGGCCATACCCTCATCCTCCGACGATACTCGCCCGCTCATCGCATCACTCGCCGTGTCCGGCGCTTCCATAGCCCCTTCGACGCTCACGTCGCGCGACCATGAAGGCGGCATCTGTGCTCGGCGCGCTGCTGGCGGCGCGCTCTGCCGCGGCCATCGAGTTGAATCTCAACGATCAGAGTAGCATCAAAGCAGCTGCGAGGACATGCGCAGATGGCATGATGAGCTTCTACAAGGGCAACGTGACTGGAGGCATTCCAGGTCTGCTCCCTGGCCCATACTACTGGTGGGAAGCCGGTGCCATGTTCGGCGCAATGATTGATTACTGGTACTATACGGGCGACTCGACATACAATGGCGTCACGACAGAGGCTATGCTGTTCCAGGTCGGACCCGATGAGAACTACATGCCTCCCAACCAGTCAAAGTCGTTGGGTAATGATGATCAGGCATTCTGGGGTGCGTTCTCCGTATGTCGGAATTGGGACATGATGTGTTGACATGCGTACAGGTATTGCCGCCATGACCGCAGCCGAAGCGAACTTTCCCAATCCTCCAGAGGACAAACCACAATGGCTAGAACTGGCTCTAGCTGTTTTCAACTCTCAGACAGTACGATGGGACACGACATCCTGTGGCGGAGGCCTCAAATGGCAGATTTTCACATTCAACAACGGTTACAACTACAAGAACGCCATCTCGAATGGCTGCTATTTCAATCTAGGCGCTCGTCTGGCCCTTTATACGGGCAACTCCACCTTTGCCGATCTGGCTAGCCGCATGTGGGACTGGACTACGAGCGTCGGTCTTATCAGTAATGAATACTTTGTCTACGACGGTTCTGATGATACGCTCAACTGCACTGAGCTGAACCACATCCAATGGTCCTACAACGCTGGCGTCTTCCTCTACGGCGCTGCGACCATGTGGAATTTCGTAAGTTTTATCAATTCACCTGGTTCGATGCTATGTACTGACAGGTTTTAGACACAAGGCACAGCAGATGAAGCAAAGTGGCGCGAGCGTACCCAAGGTATGCTTGACGGCGCAATCAAGATCTTCTTCCAAGGTCAGATTATGTACGAGGTGGCTTGCGAACCTTCCGGAAATTGCAACGTGGATCAGCAATCGTTCAAAGCCTACCTGTCAAGATGGATGGCAGCTACGACCAAAGTTGCGCCCTGGACACACGACACTATTGTTCCGCTGATCGCTGCATCTGCTGAAGCTGCTGCGAAGACATGTACTGGAGGTGCCACCGGCCAATTCTGCGGGACCAAGTGGACCGAAGGCGTGTTCGATGGAGGCATGGGTGTAGGACAACAGATGAATGCTCTCGAAGTCATTCAGAGCAACCTGATCGATCTTGTACCAGGACCTCTCGGAAACAAGACTGGTGCATCTTCCAAGGCCGGCGACTTGAACGTTGGTCTTGGCGGTGATAAGAATCCGCTTGCACCTCCCAGTGCTATCACCGCTGCGGATCGCGCAGGCGCTGGTATCATATCCGCACTGGTGATCGTTGGTCTGGTCGGCGGAGCGTGGTGGATGGTTGCATAAATGCATTGGCGTTGGACATAAAGACAGACAGAACAGCATAATGCTAATGCTACGGAATCAGATTTGATGTTTCTATCGACGCGTGCTGCCCCGAGATTGGATTCTCACGGCGTTGGATGTGGACATGTGGGCTAAAAGGTTGCTATTCTGACGAACACATGTACAATAACGAGTTCCTGCGATGACACTCTCTAGACATATCTTCTTTACTTTTTTGATCAGTCGAGTTTCGACTGATGTTCCAATCCTTGTCAGAACACCTGGGGTCTAGTGCCTCTCCACAGTTCTTTGCTTGAAGCCAAGCATCCCAAGCACAGTGGGTCTTTGCTTCGCCTACAAGGAACAAGACGTGCCGAAGCTGGGCCATAGATCTGATCTGTGAGTGTTGCTTGGCTCAATGCTTCGTGGTATTTGACGCATAGGCGATAAGCTATGAACCTTTTTTTCCAGTTGCACTTTCCACCAAGCCACAACCCAACCCCCGGAACAAAACACCGATGCGGTTTCCATCTCAATGGAGCCTATGGATTACACAACTGTGCCGCAAGTCAAGTAAACCTCACCAGCACCCTCATCATTCACAAGTCTAGCGCCATTGACTCCACCATAAACCGTTGGGCCAACAGATCCTTTCATGTAGCACGCAGCTCCCGAGAGCGTGAAATCCACGCATGCAGGGTTCTGAGCACACTTGCTGATGCACTGTGCGAGACTGTTGACGTAGACGGGCTGGTTGGGCAAGTCTCCGCCTGCGTGATCCATTCCGCATTCGACGATGAAGGATTTGCCGCTCGAGATGACGAGGGTGCCGTTCATGCTTGGGCAGGAAATGGTTTGGCTGGGTTCGGCCTGGCGAGTGAAGAGCAGGTTGGAGGAGCTGTGAGGAGGGGAGTGGTTAGGTCTGCGTTGGAATTCTTGATCGGAGGAGATGCTTACTCTGCTGGGTTGAGAGCCATTGGGTTTGCGACCGCGAGGCCAAAGATGGCCGAGGCGATGATTTGCTGGAAGCTGTGCATGGTTGCTGTTGGACTGCGGGCTGTTGTTGATTTGTGAGAGCTGTTGTGCTGTAATCGGCTGGCGATTGATTGATGTTGTTGTCTTGCTGGTCTCTTTCTCGAGGACTTCGACCGACACTTTATACTGCTCCATGCCTCTCAGGCTACCCCTTCAAGGCATCGTCCTCTCACGACCTCGGCCGCCCTCTCGACGCCGCGAGACATGCGATTCCGTGAGGCTGAGGAGTTACAAAAATCTAGACCATGCTCTCCAGAAGCCTTTCGGGGCCGGCGAGGTCAAGAGAAGCAAATAGGAGGGAGGGCGTCCGAGTGAGTCCGCGCTTTCCCTCCATTGTGCAGCCTCTTCGGGACATAGCCCGATGAAGCAGAGACATACAAGGCTGCGGAAAAGGCTGAGCTATATTCCAATAGGCCGAATTTCAGCCTCATCGACGTGCAGGGCACCAATGCAGCAACACAAGGCTGAGGTCGAGGCTGAACTAGACCGAACGACCCACTTAGACTGAATGTGGAGAGCACATGGTCACACGTGCTTCATCTCGAGCAGACAGATGGACGATGGATGGCGCGCATTAGATGCAAGGACGGCAATGTCTTACTTCGAAGCAAAGGAGACCAGACCTAGTGCATCCTTTTCGATGGAACAGCAGCCATCATTACCACATTCCAGAACGTCCAAGGGCACCAGCGGGGAGAAGGTGTGAATGAGCCGCAGCGATTGTTCGAAGCGGCTTTTGGTGCCTTGTCCACATCCGACCAAACCTGCATAAGTTTGTACCACACTAACGTAGTCTGTCCCGGTCGTGCGTTGGCCACTCCAGAAGTCTAGACATTCGCAATGGCCGACAAATCTTCTACCCGGGTTGATGTCAAGTCCGATTAACAGTGCGATCGCTGCGGCACGAATGCAGGAAGCTGCCATAGATCTGCCCAGACACATTCAGCTGCTTCATCAGGGCATCTCAGACTCCCAGATCGGTCCACGCTGCCAGTGCGTACACTTCCCGGCTTACCTGTTCAACCATTAAGGTGGAAACAATCGAATATTTGATCAATTGCGAACACTGTTGAGATTACTATTCTCATCTCAAATACCGACGATGCAATTTCTGAGCCACCCCCTAACCTTGCCGACCAATACCCTCCACTATGTCAAAGAAACTCCCACTGTTCAAGTAAGTACTATTTATACAGAGATGCTGATGCACGCCGGTCATCACTCCCGCTGGTGGGAGGAGAGACATGAACGCTCAATATGCTGCACCAGACTGGCCACGCAGGGAAATGTTCATCGTAAATGAAGAGACTGAGAATGCAACGGAAACCGGCAGAAAGCACCGCGTATCACCCAAACAACAGGCAACGAAATCGCTCCTAAAGTGTCCCACCCTCTTGCTTTGGACTGAGTGGATCCTCGCCAGTCTTTTCCTTGTGCTCAAATTCGTCCACGGTCAAGTCTTTCTGAAAATTCGGCTCAACAAAAGCCACAGAATTCTGGCTCCCGGGATATTGTCCAGGCATCGTGACTGCACCCGATCGATCATCCATTTGGCTTGATGAAAGTGCAGTAGATATTGCGTTTGTCGTCTGTGTCGACGTTGCTGTCGCTTCGGACTCGCTCTTGCTGATTGTCGAGCTGACGACATTGCTCGATGTGTCATTGGCCCCATCCAGACCGTGTGGGCTACCTCCACCGCTCAACAGCGCCGGTTGGGTGTCGTCACCTGCGGGCTGTGCTGCCTGTGACTCTTTGCTCACAGACACGTGCGATGCATTGAAAGTGGTTTCCGGCACTGGCACAGCGGTTTCAGGCATTTTGCGTTCGGCCAATTTCTTGTCCGGAAGCTTGAGGTCGACAGGGCCAATCAATGAGGTGCGCCGAAGCTGTTCTAGACGAACATTGGGATCCTTGATAGAAAAAATTAGCATGTGGATAAGAAAGACGCGGGAATCGCAGCAATCGCAAGTCAAGACCGCGAATCAATCGCCAATGTCGTCGAGTCGTAAAGCATTGCTTCAGGAAGCCAAGATGCCAGTCGCCGCGCAGCGGGACAATGAAAATCAAGACTGCAATAACGAACGCGTAAAAGCAGCGACTTGCAGAGCCTTTTCAGGCACGATAGAACCACACATCATGCAACGTACCCAATCGGCTTGGTCGGGTACACCTTCGGCAGGTGGTAGATCGCTCGTTGTGTCGCGGTCGTCTCCCCAGAACACTCTTCTTTGAGGCGCTGGTGTCACAGGTAATGAAGGCCGCTCAATTGCGGAGGGAAAGTCCGTCAAGATTAGAGATTCTCGTCGCCCGCGTGCATTTTCGACCCGTTGGACCAGATCCTCGGGATCGGACTGTGAAGTGGGCGACAGAATATTCGTTGGCGCGGCTATACCAGTCGACGGCACGTTCGACTCCACGACTTGTACCTTGCCGCGATTCTTCTGGAAGGACGTCAAAGCACGGACGTAGGAGTTGATCCCGTTGACGTCGTCCCACGCGTTCTTACTCTGTCCAAATGAGGCCCATGGGTCGGCGTCCCTTATTTGAATGGTGGGTGTCAAGGGTTCCGCCTTGGAGTCCGGAGTAACCTCTAGTTCATCGATGTAGGCGGATTCCGGTTCCAGGACCGGAGGCGGCGGTTGCGGTTCGTCGTCTACAAACCTTCGTGTCGGCTTCGGCACTTCTCTCTCTTCCCATGGGAAAATTGCCTTCGGTTTCTCTTCTACCTTGCGTGGGGCAGGAGGCGGCGGAACCTCGTAATACATGTCTCTGGGCGGCTGCGGATATGCCTGTGGAGCTCGGAACGGGGCTGGGTCCCAGCTGAACTCGTAGGTCTGCGTCGGGAAGTTCGCAGCTTCAGGCTTCGATTGCACGGGAGGAGCAGCTCTGGTGGCATCCCATTCCATGTGCGGAGCAGAAAATTTGCGTTGCTCGATTGTCGGGGCGGGTTGAACACGACCTTGATCAATGTTCTCTACACGCTCGCCTGGCTCTGTCATCAGCGGGGTCGCGGTGCCTGTGGGATGATGCTCTTGTGCATGGTCGTGCGACTGTTGCTGGTACGATTGGTGGCCATGCGAGGCATGATGCTGCCCATGTCCCTGCACATATGCCACCTGCGTTTCGCGTTGCGGAGGTGGCGCTGGCTGCGTCGTTGCAATTGGATAGCCGGTGGCGTAGTACTTCTGGGGTACATGCTGAGGCTCAGGTTGGTGTTCTTGCACATATTCCGTCGTCGCGCGTCGCTGACCGTGAATGTAATCGGAAGTCTGTACGAAATCTCTCAGCCACAAGATATCCCAATGATCTGTTGAACTCACCGAGACGTGGAAGTGCCGATCGTACACAGCCCACCATCTGCTATTCATTTCTTGAAAGGCTGCAGGAGCACCATGCTGTTCTCTGCCGCGATGCCATGGCTTCTCCTTACCAATGAAATGGACCATGCTGATACCGTGCTTCCAATATCGATAGGCCGGCTCATATTGGTAGTTGGCACTCGGAGTGGTGTTGTACTTGAAGCTCAATCGCTTCCACGGACGATGCTCATAGTACTGGTTCAGAAGACCTTGGTCGGCACCATCGAAGCTGTCTCCTGCATTGGCTAGGCCACGAAGGGCATGATACTCGCCCATGTCTGGTGTGAGCACCATAACTCCCGTGTTGAAGGCATCTGGCCAGCCGACATCTGGGGCTGCGGCGAAGCTCTCTGCGATGTCAAATAACTCTTCCGGCGCTCGCAGTGCCACGACGTCGGCGTCGATGTATACAATCTTACGGAATTGTGTTTGGCGCCAGAGATTGATCTTGGTGAATGTGTAGAGCAGGTCGGGCCTGTTCATGAGATACAGGTTGCCCGGATGTGGGTTGCCGATGCGCTCGATGGGAATAACATAGTTGTAGAGAGACTGTTGCACGTGTCATTCTCGCGAATTGCCCAATGGGCTCTTGCAGGACGCGTTACCTGTAGCTCTTCCATTGTGCTATGCCGCAGGGCCTCCTGGTCAATCAAACACGCCAACTTCTTCTTCGTCCCGCAGTCTCGGAGCGAGTGGGCCAGCACGGCCGCGCCTGCGATTGTCTTAGCGGGGAGCACGTCTCACACGCCGGTTCGGTGCAGGCGCGTGATTGCAGAAGGCGGCGGGAGCGAAGTTGGAGGAGGTGGAGGAGGAGAGGCATACCGGGTAAATAGCCATCGTTGAGCACGAGCTGGGCGAGGTGTCAGTAGAGCGGACGAAGCGAGTGCGGCGGGCACGAGGCTCACGGTGCAGTAGACATCTTCCTTGCCGGCCATCACGGCGGGGTGGTCAATGGCTCACGGCGACTCTGGCAGGCAGAGGGAAGAGGAGGAGAGAGGCGAGCGAGGTCGTCGGCGTGCAAATCATTCCAAGTGGCGGCGTCAAGCGAAAAGCTTCGGGACATGTTATGCCATGGACTTGGGCGGAGGTGTTGAGCTGCCGCCTCAACAAGACGCTCAAGACCCGCGCAACGGTCGGGGACTATTGATGCGAAATGAACGAGCCAATTTGCAGGAGCGTGAGCGGCACAATACTGCTGGTGGCACAGCATTCACACGCAACGAGGCCGGCTGCTATATGTTGCATAGCTACGAGCTCTCTCCAAGCTGTACCATGCGCTCATTGCCGAGTTTATTTTGGCCCACATGACTTATCACGCTGTCCTTCCCCGCCAACCGCCTGCACACATCTGCAAGACCCCATGCTCGCCTCGCCTCGCCATCGACACACTGGACACCGCTGCTGCGGCGGCGATGACACGGCTCGTCCTGCACACGCAGTATTGTCGCATCGTGATGGCTTGTGCCATTGGAAGGATCGTGTTCTGGCAGCAGCTCCGACAGCTTCGAAATCCTCCCCAATGTCTCGGCACACATGAACTGACCCGCCATCTCGTGTTCACCGAAATCGGACCCGTAAGGCAATTGGCAGCATAGTTGGCAAGCGTGCTCCTGCAGACCTGACTGGCAACGCCATTGAACGCTTCAGCGAAATCTATGTCGCAACGAGCTGCTGAGTTACGAATGCGGACTGCATGGTTGGAATCAAATCTGCATCATCTCATGGGAATGCTGTCTCGCGATGTGCCTGTGGCAGGCATACTACCAATACAACAAGTCCTGCTGTGAGCCTGTCCTGTGACACTCCACGGGCATGCGACCGAAATCCGACCGGCCTCGAAGGATCGCCTCGCGTTCCTGCTACACCATTTCCACTGCAGCATCACTTCCGCTCGCCTGCTGTCCTCAACCAGATCCACCACCACCTGATTGCCCTCCACCACTCTTCTGCGGACTGCCTCCACCGCTGGACCTCGACCGTCCACTCCCTCCCCCCGTCTCGTCTTTGCTCCCTTGTGCCTGATGCTGCTGTTTATCCGCATTCGTGCGACTGATATCGTGGTTGGCAGGGCTCACGTTGAGAGGGTTGTCGCTGTTCTGCAGGACCCGGCTTGTCAGTCTCCAAACTCTCACAAGCCCAACCCGGCATCGTCGTCACCACCCTTGTAGCAGGGATTCATCTGGGGCTTTGCTTTGCTTACAGAGCCGCTCTCTTGTCGAGCACTTTCATGTTGACTCTCTGGACTCGTTTGATTTGGATCGAAAGCTGTGCCTTCTCCTGCTGCTTGACCGTCTCCAGATGACTTGCTGTATTCGTTCGATGTCGTGTTTATGCTGTCCTTGTCCTGGTCGTATTTCGATGGTAATGGCCGTGTAGCTGATGTTTGGAATGGGCGAACATGGCGGCTTTGGACGAATCCACGACGAACAGTACGTGACAACATTTTGCTCCTCTGTGAGACGATGTCAGAAGAAGATGCGAAGCGGAGTGCAGACGTTTGAATGCTCGCAATGCATATCTTTGATCTTGACGCTGGATTACATCATGCACCGCAGCCACGTCCGGTCCGACGTAATTCGCTGGGAGCGGATCGCAGACTTCACGCGTCGATGAGATTGGGAGCTGCAATTCAAAGCGCAGTCAATCAAGTCCGAAATGAACACAAAACAAGTTACATTTTTACTCCACTGCAAATCATGCCATATCAGTCAATTCTATATAGTCGCAACAACGAGTGACCATCAAATAACTAGTACACCTCAAGGATGTATCGCTGCTCCTCCTTGAACCTCTCGATCTCCTTTGGCCCACTCTTCTTCTTGCCTTCAGCACGTGCCTCAGTCTCAACGGCCTCCTCGAGCACATTGGTGACGTCCGGCACAGGCCAAGTCGGTCCGCAGAGGTAGAAAGCACCCTCCTCTCGGAGATATGCGCGACGGATGTCACCCAGTGTCTGTCGCATACGGTCCTGAATGTAGATCTTCTGCGGCTGATCACGAGAGAATGCAGCTCCGAGCAAGGTAATGATGCCCGCGTCCTGGTATGCTTCCCATTCTTCTCCATACAGGTACTCCTCGCGTTTGTGTCGCGAACCCATGTACAGGAAGACATCACCAATCGGCATGCCCTGCTCACGTTGCCAGGCTCGCTCTTGCACGAACGCACGGAAGGGCGCAAGTCCAGTACCCAGGCCTGCCATGATGATGGGCTGCGTGGTCTTGGGCGGCAGCTTCATGACCGATGGCTTCACGGACACCGTGACAGGAGCGCCGATGGGCAAGCTATCGAGATATCGAGTTGCTTGACCAAAGCGATCTCTGCCCTTGGGATCGACCCAGTTGACGGTGACGATGAGTAAGCTGACACTGTTTGGAGTGACCTTTTGCGAGGATGCGATGGAATACTCTCTGCGCTTCATCGGATTGACAATGCGCACAATGTCGTGGAAGCCAGGGTGCGCCGACTTGAATTCCAGCAAGATGTCAGCATAGGTGATGGTGTCCACTTCTGCGCGGCGCTTGAATTCGAGCACAGCTTCTTGGTTGCCACCAGTACCCAACATCAGGAGTTCGGTTCTCTCCTTCTCATCATCGGCAAACTCGCTGAGCGCTTCGTAGAATCGCTTCGGTGGGCGACCGAAGATGTCAACGTTTTGGAGCAAAGCTTGATACACAGTGCGGTTCTCCAACAGTTGAGGATCCTCGCGGGACGGTACCTCCACAATCTGAGCTGGATCAAGCCCGTACCACTTGATGAACTCCTCAACCTGAGTTGGATCGTTCTCCGCATGGATACCCAAAGCCTCTCCAATCTCGTATTTGACTCCGCTGTCGCCAAGGTCAAACTCAATGTGGAAGATGTTACGGTCGTACGTCAATGGCGTCAGTCTACGATGCTCCTTGATGTGCACAATTGCCGTCTTGACGCCAACATCAGGTCGGAGTGCGGTCTTGGTGCCATATGCTTCCTTGAAAGCTAAGCCCTTGGCAGCGATCTTCCAGTCTTTGAGAAGCGAAGGAGGTTCCTCTTCGGTCCTTTCAAATGGCGCGAAACTGTTGATTTGAAGATCTTCTGCGACAGGCAGTGATTCGTTCTCCTCAGGCTCGATCGTCAGCCAGCTCTCAGGAATCTCGGCCTTCTTCAAGGATTGATCTAGCTGTTCGACCAACACCTCGAGAGCGTCGCCAGCAACTTGCAGTTTCTTCGAGCCCGCTGCGTAGAGCTCTGGCTTCGAGAGCTTGAGGAATGCCAGTTGTAAGAGATAAGCTTCAAGCTCAGGATTTTCTTCCACCTTGGAAATGGCCGCTGGATCAAGGATCCATAGAGCAAGCTGCTTGGTCGCAATGGCCTTGCGAAGCGAAGGACCCAGCTTCTTCTCCAGGTCCTCATCCTTCCAGCCAGGCGATTTGAGAAGCACTGTGCCTTCTGGCTTGACGCTATCAATGACGGCAAAGTCTTTGAAGAGTTTCTCGCTGCCGACGACTACCACATCGGCGCTCTTGATACTGTACGCGCTTTCGATGCTTCGCGATGACGTGCGCACATCGGTCCGGAGAGCACCACCTTGCACCAGATTATCGTGACCAGAGCGAACTGAAACATTGAGTGCACTGTCATCGGCAAGCAGTTGACCAAGCATGACGGGAGCACTAGCGCTGCTGCTCGAGTCCACATCCCAGAATGTGTATTGCTTGGCGTCTTTGTCGCCGAGGGTCAGGATGGAGACCTGGCACTCGCCCTTAGAGTTGGCCTGCTGCAAGATGGCGTCCATCTTGGCGATCGTCCAGACTGTCTCGCGCGCGTACTTCACATTATAGACACTTGGAGATGTTCCAGAAGTCATGCTCTGGAAGTTGACAGCGGCAAGAACATCGGCGTACAGGTTACTGGTAACGCTGGGGTCAAGAGCCGACGCCTGATCTTGAACCTGTCCAAGGACTGTAACATGCTGTGCGGTGGGAGGCAGAGTGGCAATGAACTCGTCCTCGACAAAGGGCCGATAAACGCGCACATTGATCACTCCAACCTTGACGCCTTGCTCTGCCAGGGCTTCGGCGACCTGTGCAGCGACGCTTGCCTCAACAGTACCGAAAACGACTGTCACGCTGTCCGGCTGTGGGTGTCCGTGATACTCAAATGCTTTGTACTCGGTGCCCAGCTCGGCATTGAACGCATTCAGGAGCTTCAAAAGCTTGCCTTCGTTCGTCAATCGCTTGGATTGCCTGTCCTCCTGGGTGTTCTGAAGTACGGTGTCGTAGGTCCGCTTCAAGCTCGACACGTTCAACACATCGATGACACGAGTTGTCTCACGGCCCACAGTGATGCCATCGTAGGTGTGGATGGTTGGCAGGATGGAGGCGAGCAGCGTGGAGAACAAAGCCATGTGTTGCACCTCAAATGCACTCCTGCTAGTCACCAAACCCAGACCCAGCTCTTCAGAAAGTGTCAGAGTCGTGGCGTAGTCGGCCACCAGACCACTTTTTGTGTTTGCAGCATAATCGACTGCAGCAATTTGAAGCGCAGTCGGATTGGCAACATCGTAGAGCAGGCTCAACTGGTCCAGCTGGGGGCGAAGCTGGTTCAAACTGCCAGTGCTAGCGACAATGGATTGTGGAACGCGTCTCCTGCTCAAGTCGAAGTCGGGACTAAACATGTATCCCAGCGCGATACTGCCCGCGCCGCTTCGCGTCTGCAGGCTATGCAAGCCTGTGATGGCGTTGTAGGCATTCTTCTCTCCAGCATCGTGCCAGGATCGGGCGGCTGCGTCGAGGTCGAAGGAGGGCGGCGAGTAAGCGAAGCAGTTGTCCGAGAGCGCGTAGGCGACCTGCTGCACTAATGTCTGTGCAGTAAGATATGTCGGGCCTGCAAGATGGCTCAGAGCAACATCTTGTCCGAATGGCAGCGCATTCGACTTTTTCGCCGTGGGCGAAGGGTCCTGGCGAAGCCCCATGCTGCCGACGAAGCGAACGGGCTGTCGTTGCGACGAGGGTGTCACGAGATCGTCGTTCGCGACGAGGAGTAACTTCGCTCTCGAGGCAGATGTATTCTGCTGTCGAATGTCCACGTTACTGGAGAACAAAGGACCGTTGGTAATCGGAACACTTTTGTGATGCGCGCAAACACTATTCGCCGCTCTGGCCCAGAGGAAATCTCGACTTCCTCCGATGTCCGGAGCACGCCATTCTTTAGTCCATTGACCCTTGTGGAGCATGTGGAGAGCACTATTATTATGCAGGCCGACTTCATGCAATTCGCAAGGTGGTCAAATGTGTATACGAACGACAAACAGCCCATTGTCCATCTTTAGCAACAAGCCCTTCCTTCAATGCCACGCCTGTAAATGCTCGAATTCTTCACAGTCGCACTCTGTTTACATCTGAGCTGTGGCTTCTGATCGCGGCTGCAATTTCCTCTTACCGCCGATGTAACTGCGCTTGCGAAAGAGGCGATCAGACCACAGATGAGCCAGCATCGGCTCTGAGACTACACGTAGAACATTGGTGATCTGGTCAGGTTTGCATACAACAACTCACAAAGGGTATAAAGTGGGCGGCCCAACAGGCCACAAATGATTCTGCCGTACTCACTAGCCGCCGATTTGAACTATTCCGCAATGCCAGCAGACAGGTCCCGGTGATGAGACCCAGATTGTGGCATTGCCGTGCCGCAATATGTACAAATTGCAATCGCTAAGAGCCTAAAAGACTCGAACGTGAACCCGAACGCCATGAGCCAGAACGTCTACTTCGTACCCTCTGGAAAGTCCTCGAGCGGTCCGGAAGTCGCAGACATGCCTGGCGCGCTTTGTGTAGGCTGCACGACAGGAGGTTCTGCAAGCACAGGCAACTTTTCGACGTCTGCACCAGGCTTCGGCGTCGGCGCTGGCTCTTTAGTCTCCGACTGCGCGGTTGGTGCCACTGGGGCTGCTGTTGGAGGTGTATTCTCTACTGCGGTGACTGGAGTTGGCGGTGGAATGGCAGCGGTATCGGTCACGCTCTTCTCTGCATCTGCTTGTGGTGGGCTCGCCTTTTGCTCAACATTGGTAGTGTCTGCGACTTGGGATTGATCTGCAGCGCCGTCCGTCTTTGGAGGTGGAATGGGAGCAGACTCCGCAGCTGGTGCAGTTGCCGAAGCCGCGGGACCAGAAGTCGACGATGCAGCAGCTGGTGCTGCGGCCGCGGCGTTGGCTGCTGGAGCCGCCGGAGCTGCTGGAGCCACCGGAGCTGCTGGAGCTGCCGGCTGCGAAGGTAGCTGCTTATTTGTGTCTGGCGCAGCGGTCGTGGCAGACGGTGGGCTGGCTGGTGTTGCCGGCGAGGCTGGTTGTTGAGGTGCAGCAGGCGCATCTGGCTTCGCCGGGGCCTGAGCGGTAGACGGGGCTGCAGAGGTGCTGTCGGCGGGGGTCTCTTGTTTGCTCTTCTTTCCGCGCCTGAACATGCCCTTCAACAGCCGCTTGACATTGTCGACCGCGTCTGGGGCTATGGCGCGTTTGTCAGTGGCTCTGTTTGTGGATTCCAGGAAGATGGTGCTCTGGACTTACGAACACCAGGCATGATGGTGATGAGCGGTCTTTCTGACCGGTGTGCTCTGGTAGCTAGTTGTTAAGCGGTATCTGGAACCTTTGTTGTGCTGATGCTGCTGTGTGGTCTCAAGCGTGAGGAGTATGGCGTGAGCAGTACTTCCGTGGTGTCGCGGCGCGGCGCGTAGCAGGAGGACCTCTAGACTAAAAGCCACAGGCACAGGCCCACGAGGCCTCTGCCGAGATTAGATGCGCACGCGCGAGAGGACCACGCGCCTGTGAACCTCTGTCGCACCAGTAGTAGTAGCCCGACGGTTGCCAGAGACGAAGTGAGGAGCTGGGCGCTGCAGAAGGGCATCTAATTCTATTTTCGGACCGTCCAAACTGCCCCACCAGCGCGTCGAGTATGTACGTCTAAACGTTGCTCCACTGTTGTTGCACCTCTACATCTACAGCCACATACACTTCTGTCCAGACACCACTGCCGCTACTGCTGCGATAGAACGGCGACACCTGACCTCTCGCTTCCATCATCCGCCGCTGCGAGGAAAGGTCTCTCGCGCTCGCAGCCCAGACTGCCCACCGACTTCACCACGGCCGACCTCAACTCGATCTCGCGCGCGACTCGAGTGGCCTCGCAGCTAACGACTGCACGGGCAATCCTTTGGGATAAGACATATACGGGCAAGGAACCGCCCGATATCCGACTGCTCCCGACGCACGTATCCACCCTCAGCGTCGCCAACCGAACCGACAGTAACATCTCGGTGCGATCACTGGGCGGCAGCCACAAGGTCGAGCCCATGGACAAGCGCCATCCTTCCAGCTTCCAGCAGCTGGAGAAGCTGGGAGAGGGTACCTATGCGACGGTGAGCATGCTGAAACGACGAGAAGCGCCTGTTGATTTATACATACTGATCTGTTTTCCCCAGGTCTTTAAAGGTCGCAATGGACAGACCGGTCAGTTCGTAGCCCTCAAGGAGATTCACCTCGACAGCGAGGAGGGCACTCCCAGCACAGCAATTCGCGAGATTTCGTTGATGAAGGAGTTGAAGCACGAGAACATTGTCAGCTTGTACGATGTTATCCACACCGAGAACAAGCTCATGCTGGTGTTTGAGTACATGGACAAAGACCTCAAAAAGTACATGGACAGCTACCAAGGTCCAGCCGGTGGTGCACGAGGTGCACTCGACCCAGCGATTATCAAGAGTTTCATGTGGCAACTGCTCCGTGGTATCGCTTTCTGCCACGAGAACCGCGTGCTCCACCGCGACTTGAAGCCTCAAAATCTTCTGATCAATGCGCAAGGTCAATTGAAACTCGGCGATTTTGGACTCGCCCGTGCCTTTGGAATTCCTGTCAACACATTCTCAAACGAGGTAGTGACCTTATGGTATCGCGCACCTGACGTGCTTCTGGGCAGCCGCACGTACAACACCAGCATCGACATCTGGAGCGCTGGTTGTATCATGGCGGAGATGTTCACTGGCAGGCCATTATTTCCAGGAACTACGAACGAAGACCAACTTCTCAGAATCTTCCGGCTCATGGGCACGCCGTCAGAGCGGAGCTGGCCTGGTATCAGCAGTTTCGCAGAGTACAAGCAGACCTGGCCCGTCTATGCCACTCAAGAGCTGCGGACTATACTTCCCCAGATTGACACACTTGGACTACAGCTGCTTGGCCAACTGCTACAGCTTCGGCCGGAGATGCGTTGCACCGCACAACAAGCTTTGGCCCACCCATGGTTCAACGAAATACGTTCGCAAGCAGCTACGTCTGGCGCATTTGCTGCTCCCCTACCAGGAATGGCTGTAAGTCAGCAGCGAGCTTACTGATCGATGCCTGCTCCCGATTACCCGCGAGAAAAGACCACTCATGTCTGAATATGAGCCGACATAACGTTAATAAAAGTAACGACGACTCGAGGGTCGCAGTGGCAGAGCAATACCCACCGCCGCCGTTGCTTACCTGGAGTTCCTCGCTGCATCCAACACGCGAACCCTCCTCTCTTGCTGCCGGGGTTATTGCTAGTCTTCTCTGTCGACTCAAGCACGTACGCGCGTCGGTGAACAAAGGCTCATTTGCCGATGTGAGCATCGCCTGGAGCGATGATCTAAAATGGAAGCACTGTGACCTTGTCACAGCTCCTGCAGTGATACGCTGCCTCAATGCACGGACGCGAACGTGATCACATTTGACATGCCATAGCATCAAACGAAGACTAGAGCTTCTGCAGATTAACGAACTTGACGTAATTCCACAGCACTTGTTCACACAATGCACAAGATAGGCCATTCGCAGCTCATTGCAGACTGTCCTTGCCTTCGCAGAGTGTTGCACAATTCTTGACGCCGGGTGATTCTGGACTTGCGAACACGACTGAGCTGATATGCTCAATCATCTGTACGCTTTCAGCATTCATACAGTCATGAAATTTCCTGCTGTGATACGCATAAGACATCGAAGTACGTACAACGTGATACGTCAATAAATGCGATGCTAAACGCAGTCGGCGTTGTGGGGTGTGTGCCCGATAATTGCCAAAAGTCTTGGTGTCAGTTCTGCCGTTGCTTCCACTTCCATTTTCCACGCCAGAAACCGCACTTCACGAACAATTCCTCAATGGGTAAGCGAACGCGCGCAGATATGGAACAAGGAAACAATACGTCTCCTTTCATGCCAATGTTCGAAGGGTTCCGGGCTGAATTGGACGAGCATCACGACCGCCGAGAACGCATCATCAAAGCTTCCCGCGACATCACGGCCGCATCTAAGAAGATCATCTTCACTCTCCAGCGGTAAGAGACTCGAGCTGATTGTTCACCATTGCCTCACTCTCATGATTCTCTAGTGTTCGCACATTGAACGAGCCACTACCTCAAAATGTTGTCAAAGGCAGTGAGCCATATCGCCAGACGATCGACGCACAATTCGCAGCTGTTTCGAAAGATCTGTAGGTAACCATATGCGTGGGTACGCTATGTTGAAGCAGTCACTAACTTGCAACGCTGCTCTAAGGCAAGGTCTCAATCGAGACCGCTACGCAAGACAGATCACTGGTGGCTGCCAAGAATGGATGGAAGCAGCCTCCTTCGAGCACTATCTGACCACTGGCTCACTAATTACCTACGAGGAGTCTACAGCCCGTCTGCGCGAAATGGATAAAGGTGGACCAGGCGTAGCGTTGAGCATCGAGGACTACCTTCTTGGCATTTTCGACATGACTGGAGAGCTTATGCGATTCGCCATCACCACAATGGCCATGAATGGCGCGATGCCGACAATCGCAGCTTCGAACGCCTCCGGTCAGACCCCAAGAAGCATGCTGAATGACATGCGGGCTCTAAGATCGGCACTGGAAACACTCAACGCACATGGAGGTCCGCTTGGCAAGGACCTGGACAAGAAGATGGAGGTTATGCAAACGAGCGTAGAAAAAGTCGAGCGTGCATTGTAAGTCAATTAAATCATCAATCGCGTGCATGCTAACACATGTTCAGATACGGATTGGTTGTTAGGGGGGCGGAGCGACCGAAGGGATGGCTTCCGGATACCGATGGCCAAAGGATTCTGGAAGTCGAAGGATGAGAAATCTGCTGCACTGGCCGGCGTCACTTCTGCAGTCTTACTGGTTCGCTGGCCATAAGACGATTGCCGGAACTAGCAGCAGATCTCTGGAGCTGCACCCACAGTCTATCTGAGCTTGCCGGGAGTCAGATAATGACTTGCAGCTGCACGCTGCGAGCAAGTTCGCGTAGAGCTCCCGCAACTTGCAAGCTGTCTATGCACAAAGCAAGATGGACCATCTTGCAGAGAGATCATCGACTCTAGAACTGAAGCGAGGCGAAGCATATCCCACACACCTTTATCACGACTCACACCGTGGTCTTTGGTGCCGGCAGCCCATAAGGATAATCGTGAATACCTCTGAATGCAACGACCTTTGAGTGTAAGCGCCTAACTAGATTGGCTCTCGATCCATGAAAAGCTTTGCTGATTGGCTTAATGACCTGCGGTTGCACTCAGAGGTCGTTGCATTCAGAGGTAGCCACGATTAACATGTGCATAACGGTCAGCAGCCATGCACGATGTGGCACGTAACCTTTGCGGCATGCTGATCTCATTTCATACACTTAGGATGACAGCCATATTCTGCCTAACAGCTTAGGTACAAAGACTAACACATGCCGTGCCTGGTGAGATTTGCTGCAGGCATGCGGTCAGCATTGCGCGCCGGGGACACGAGTACAGCACGGCGTGTTATAGAGCGTGCGAATCTTGGTGTGTATGTTCAAATGTCGCTGATTGCTACACTGGAAATTGCTGCCAGCCCCTGGGGTCTAGCCGTCAAGTTGACAGAGCACTGTTGGAGCTGATAGGCGATGCGAAGTCTGTTCGGTGTAACGCATCTGTCTCGTACTTATTGTATGGAGGCACAAAATTAGATTCCCCGAATAAGACATTGAAAAAGCAGGGTCGAAACAGCTTGAGGAAGACAACCACGTTGAGCGCAACCAAAGAAAGCCTGCCGAGCCAGCACAACCAAATTCTCGGCGGCCACCGGCCCGCGTGGAGGCACGCTCCGCATGCCGATGTCACTCTATCCATCGGATCTCTGCATCGCGACTAATCACAGGACGCCAGCCAGCAGCCACTCCGGCCCCCTCGTGCTCGAGCTCGTGCTTTGAAGCTTATCACTGTGATGCTACCAAGAAGGCACAGTACTTGCAGCCCATTCACTCAGCGGCATAGTCCAAACCGAATGTCAAGATTGATAGTGCACACGAGGCTTTCGAATCGATGATGCATCCAACAAGCCAAGGACGAAATATGCACGCTCAACCAGACCATGCCTAGACTTCGCAACCTTAAAAGATCCTGAAGCGCTAGTAATGCATACCGAAAATCCCCAAATGCAGAGCCCCTCTTTGACTGCTGAGTGTGGACATACCCGATGAGGCAAGGCGCCCACTGGCTTCATATCCTCCGAACTCTAGGATGCATGCATGTGGACTGTTCCACCGCTACATGATCAGGCCACGCAAGCGAGATGTCGACCTTCAGCTAACCATGGCGGGTTGACGTTCGCTGTTGTGCAACTGAGAAAGCTGTCAACGGTGACATGGAGCACAAGCCGCTTTGGCGCCTGTCGATTGCGGCGTTGCAAGGTTGTCCGCAAAGTGTTCGTCACGCCAGCAAAGATCTTTGCTGATGAATGTTTCTCGGCAAAGCCGACCACAACCATGCAACCATTTCCAAAAACTTATGCAGCACGCACAGATCGTGTTATGTCGATCAATGCCCACCTCAGACGATGATAACGCATCGCTCGTGATTGGCCTGGTCCCTGCAGAAAGCTACAAACACATCGCGGCTTGAGCACTGCACTGTCCGTGTCACTACGCTGCTTGAGTGAAAGCAGTGGCTGCATTGAGCACGATCTTCTGTGGCTCTCGCTCCGCAATGTCCCAACGCGCGGTATTGGTTCCTCAAGAGCCTTGGAGTTCGACACTAATGCAACTCGTTGGTCATGCAAGGCTCCCGGTACACATTGAGCATAGAGGTGCACTTAGATGGTTCAGACATGTCATCGCCAGCCCTCGCACTTGCAAAGCTCCTCATTTGATTTATCCTTGTAGCTCCTACGCAGCTTGTCTCTCAGGAAGCATCGCAGAGACTCTGCAATCATGCCGGGCAAAATCTCTAGAGTGATCTCAACGATCAAACGGAAACCCAGCACAGCTCCAGATCGCAGGTCAGATGAGGAAACCAATGGCACCACGGAGAAGACTTCGGTCTTGCATGACCTTACTCATAACATGAGCTTGAAGAATGCTGCAACACTCGGGCAGGGACTTACGAGCTTGGCTTCTGGCGAGCCTATGGACGACAAAGAACTGTTGCTCGAGAATGGAGTAGCGATGTTGCAGTCATTGCCATTGAACAGTGGGCTGTCCGCGGCAACGAGCAATGCCTTCATCAAAATGTAATGTCACGCTATAGTGGTCATCTCAGGCTATATTCTAACTGATCAGGTTATGGCACGATCTTCCTCACCCCGCGACCACGCTAGCTGGACCAACTACGAGATATCGCAGACACGATGGTGGCAATAACAACCCTGTAAGTACCAACAGTGGGGGACGGTCATCAGCTGTGCCAGAATTTGAGGGTTCGACACCCGCTAGTTGCGGACAGCAAAATGGAAATACTCGAAATCGACGTTCGAGGTTGCTGTCTCACCGCGCCTTCGGTTTTGTGACCATCTCGCTTCGCAAGACAGGGTGCCTTGAACACACCGTGTATATGCAGAGACACGAGGAATGGGGGATTTCTCAAGTTCATGGGCACAGCACGCCGTGTTGATCGTGATTTCCATTTAGCTTTCCGGCGGGAGACTGGACACTGTGCTAACTTTTACGTCGCGTGCAGTGGAATCCTGAGATGGGCAAAGCTGGCACTCCCTACTCCCGCAGTGTGCCCCCGATGAAGCCAAAGGGCCCAAATCTCCCAGACCCCGAGCTCGTCTTCGAACAGCTTCTTAAGCGAAAGGACGACAAGTTCCGCGAGCACCCTTCAGGATTGAACAGGCTGTTTTTCTCTTTCGCCACTATCGTTATCCATGAATGTTTCCAGACCAATCGACAAAATCAATGGATCAACGAAACTTCGAGCTACGTGGATCTGAGCACACTGTACGGAAACACGGGCGAAGAGCAGAAGAGAGTGAGGACATGGCACAATGGATTGATCACGAATGATGGCATTGCGGTAAGAATCAAGCTGGAGTGGCATAGGAAACGGACGAACATCTTTTGACACTTAAACAGAGCGAGAGAATTATGCTCATGCCACCCGGTGTGGTTGCTCTATTGGTTATGTTCTCACGAAACCATAATACGATTGCCAAAGATCTTCTCTCGATCAACGAAGAGGGAAAGTACGCGGATTGGAACAGTCTCAAGGATGAAGGCGAAGGACATGGTACAAAGAAATGGTACGTGGTTCGCACTTTAAGAATGCTCCAACTCTGCAGCACAGAGGCTTGCCATCGGCACGCGCAACACTCTGCGGAAGACGAGCATGGCCAAGCTAATTATTGCCCCTCAGGCAAGACGAGGATATCTTTCAGCTTGCCCGAAACATCAACGTGGGCTTCTTTGCTACTGTTGTGCTCAAGGACTACGTAGCTGCCATCCTCAACACCCCTCGAGCCAACTCCACCTGGTCTCTGGACCTTGGCGGCGAGATTAAGGCTGGTGGTGTAAGCAACCCCCCCCCCCCA